TTTTTTTTCCGTTTCAAGCTCTGGTTTAAGATTGCAGAACAGCAACCGCAGTGAAAATAATTTTTTTTTAATGCTTCACCATTTATAGCAGCACTCGCTGTCACTTATAGCGTCACTCTAGTATGTGCACTTCTATTAAAAAACTTGGTTTGTCTTTGTCCTTCTCTTCCCACTGTTTGTCCCTCAAATAAGTTTCAGCCTTAGAAAGCAATAAAAGAGGTCAATAGAGTAGAACTGGCCTAAATGTATGTTTGTAAATAAAAAATACCTCTTATAATATATTTTAAGTAATAGCACAAAAACATCAAATAAAAAAATACTAATAAATAATTAAAAATGTAACACTTATATAAGATAAAAGTTCTACGGAAATCATATCCCTACCAAAATTTTTTAACTTGAATTAAAATAAAATTGTTAGTGCGACATTATGCACCATCAATAAAAAAAAATCCTATCATTTGTCATGTTTTCTAAAAACTATAATGAATTTAGTACTAATTCTGAATCTCAGCTCCAAGACAACCTACTACTAAGACTACTCATAGTAGGGAAATAATAAAAATAATGTTCATGGACAAATCATGTCCACATAAAATATTTTTGTCGAAAATATACAGAAAGCGATTTACTAATAAAAAAAAGTGTTTGTTTGCTTTTCATCTTTATGACAGAAAATGCATGTGATTATAGATAATATATAACATTATAATATCCATTAAAAATCTAATTATACAGCTCTAAGACATAATATAATGTGCTTGAGGATAGAGTAATGGCCGAAACTTGTGAATATGAATGAAAAAACATCTGGTAAAAATTGGCAGCCTAAATAATTTAAAAACTACAAGTTTTTTTTATGATGGGCTTAATGCAAGTGATTATAGATAATATTGTCGGCAAAAAGTCACAAAGTATACTTTTGGTAGATTTGAAAATGAAGGTACGCAGTTGTTAATTTTGATTATATTCATCGATATAATAACTCATTAAGTGCATAAAAATAAAACAAATCCTTTTATACATAAAAAATAGTTTCACTAAGTGCACGATGTTCGTACAATACAGAGCAAAAAGTCATCAAGTTAGTTAATAAAATTCTTGTTCACAAAATAAGGTTAAAATAGAACACCAAATTCACTATCTGGTACTTAAAAGACTTCTTTCATTGGATTAATTGATCAGATGGTGCATAAAACCAATAAAATGAGGTACAGTGATGGAAAAAAGTATTTGCACAACACGTTATTATGAATAAAGTAGTTCAAGGAAACAAAAAACTTCGCTTTCCTTTGCAAAAATGAAAAGTAAATTTATTAAAAACTGAAAAAACCTTTTTACAAAAAAATAAAAACACTTCATAATCAAACAAAATAATTAAAACAATAAAAGTGCTTGGAAAAAATGATTTGCACACTTCCACATTTACAAGTTTATTTTAAATTTTAATATTTTGTAAATAGGGCATTTGCGTCAATAATTGCTTGTAGACATCTGGGCATTGAATGCACTAGGTTTTTAATTAAATCTACGTTTATTTGTTCCCATTCTTGAACAAGAAGTTGTTTAAGGTGATGTCCACTAGTGATATGGTGTTTTCTTACATTTTGGTCAAGGGTGTGCCATAAATTTTCAATGATATTTATATCTGGTGACTGAGGAGGAGTGTGGAGCTGTCTTGGAACATTAAATATTAATCAATCCTTTGTTTTCCTCGCAGTGTTTGGATCATTGTCCTACTGGAAATAGTACTGATCCTGGATTTCCATTTTTTCGGCACTAACACGCAAATTATGTCGCAAAATGTGCACATAGCCTTTCGCATTTAAAATGCCTTCGATGCTCACAACATGTTCCACGCCATGGTAGGAAACACACCCCCAAACCATAACATGTCCTCCACCATGCTTTACAGTTGTTAAAACATTTTGCTTCTTTAGGGCTTCATTACGATGTCGCCATATCGTCTTTTGACCATCTGAACCAAACAAACTAAATTTGCTTTCGTCAGAAAATATGACATTTTCCCAAAAGCTCAAGGGTTTCTGTACGTACTCCCTGGCAAAAGCAAGGCGCTTTTTGCGATTCCTTTCACTGATGTATTGGCTTCTTTCTTGGAACTCTACCATGGAGCCCTTCCTTATTCAGGGCATATCTAATTGTTCTGCTAGTAATCTGAACTCCAGACGTTGATTGGACTATGGTAGTCAGCTCCCGAGAACTTATCAGAAGATTTTTAAGAGCTTCTTTTCTGATTTTCCTCTTCAGCCTGGGAATTAACTTTACGCTCACTGTTTTCAGTTGAACCACGTTCTTCATACCTTTTTATGACCTATCTCACTGTACAAAAATTCAACCCTAAGAAATCGGCAATTTGGTGATATGTTTTTTGCTGACTCCTCAGTAAAACTATTTTTTCCCTAGTTGCAGCACACAGTTGGCATGATAATTGTCTATTGACTAAATGAAACTGATTGAAAGACTAGAGAATACTGGTAATAAACGATTAGAAATAAATTAGTAAACAAACCTATGACCTATGGACACAGGAGAATTAATGCCAAAGTAAACAGAGCTTGTGAGTCATAGTGTGCAAATACTTTTTTCCAAGCACTTTTATTATTTCATTATGGAGTGTTGTCATTTTTTTTCCAAAAGGTTTTTCTCAGTTTTTAACAAATGTACTCTTCATTTTTGCAGAGGAAAGCTAATTTTTTTGGTTCCTTGAACTCATTTATTCATAAAAACATGATGTGCAAATATTTCTTTCCATTACTGTAAGTCTAACTCACATTCCATGTACTTGCAAGGTTATAAAAGAAAGTGTTTTGTTTAACTATGTTAGTGGGCAAAAAGTCACAAAAAGTGTCATTCTGGTTTCAATTTTTTCATTGTTATCTATATATTAATTAATTTAATTAATTATCAGAAACAGAATACGTAATTAGAATTGCGAATAACAAAAAACAAATAATCAAATTGCTATTTTAGTATTTTTTCAATGAACCAAAAACTTGAAATTCGATTATCTCAAGTGCATTAAAATGTTATTTAATGACTTTTTGCAATAAACCGACGATATATAAAAATTATAATACTCATTGTTAATTATAAAACATGGAAAACAGAGAACTGATTTTAAAATTTAATTACGATTTCACTAATGTTTCAATTTATTTACTATTATTAAAATCCTAACCTCATAATAACTTGAAAGAGTAAGTTTTCACGAATAGCTGTCAAACATTTCGTTATGTATCTTCATTTTGTGAGAACTACGCTGACTAATCCTAACCAAATATAAGCCTGCTACGAAGGATTTTGTCTAACTCTACTTTTGGATATACTAATTGTTTTAGGATTTCAATTATACTGTACTCAAAGAGATCATGAAACCAGCCCCCATCTTTAGACTACATATATAATCTTCTGTTATCCTTCTTGTCTCATTTTTAAGCACAAGGAAATTCTCTTAATTTAAATTAAATAAATAATTTGATCACATAAATATAGCAATCATAATAATATATCATATTTTTCCTTTACATAATAAAAAAATATACAAGGTGTCCCGTAAGTAGAGGGAAATTTATATAGGACTGATAGCAGGTAGACCTCAAAAGCTACAAGATAGTTCATGTAAATAATGGGGCAATTTTTAGTAGAAAATCCAAGTTTTATGTTTGTTTTTTTAAGTAGGTCATTTTTTTTTTTAATAGGAAGCGATAACTAAAGAGATATTTAATTTAAGTAATTAACAATTGCTTAGTGAAAATAGTGAACTAGACAAAATTTACTTATAATAAAAATAGATTTTGACATTGTTAAAACCATTTAAAGAAGACTATTGAGCGGCCAAACTAAGGTAAATACTGTTTTTAAAAAAAATCAATTGTTGATTTTTTTTTTTCGTCATCCAAATATACTTCAGATACTCCACTTTCATAAAAACTTCCTTGTTTAATAAGCTTAAATTCCATATTAATTAAGTTGAGGTTTATTAGGCAAAAACTTGAGATTCATATAGAATTGTATAAAAAATTATGTGATTTTTATTCTGCCACCAAAAAGTGACTACAATTTACTTTTGAAATGCTTTTATTTGTTTTTGTCATGATTTGCTAAGTAGATAATAAATACAATTGCCTAAATATAATTTTTATTTATAAATAAAATATATATATTGAATTTTCAAATATTTTTCATGAAAGGTGGTTATGAAACTGTATTTTGTCTTCCTCTCTGCCATAGAAATTGATCCGTTTAATTATAAGTGACAATATTAATAATAATACATACCAGTTCATGGAAAAACAAGAAATAAAAGCTTTGCAACTGCTAATTGTAGCTATTTTTGCTGAAAACACAGGTACATTTAGGTGACAGCATAAAAAATCACATCATAATTTTATACTAGTTGAGGTGAATCTCAAGTTTTTGCCCAATAAATCTCAAATTAATTAATATGGACTTGAAGCTAATTAAATTATTTGAAAAAGTATGGTCTATGTAGTATAGCTGGATGATAGAAAAAAAATCACGAATGATTTATGATATTTTTAAAAACAGAACATAGATTAGTTTAGCCACTCAAAAGTCCTCTTTAATTGGTTTTAACAATGACAAACTTTATTTGCATTTGAAGTAAATTTTGCCTTTCTTAAAGTGAAGCAATTTATAATTATTTAAATTAAATATTTCTATAGTTATCACTTCAACAAAAAACATTACAGTTGAAAAAGTACAATACTTAGATTTCCTACTTTTCTGCTGAAATTGGCCCATTGTTTATATGAACTTTAATGTAGCTTTGAGGTTTTCTATCACTCCTATAAAGATGAACGTACAACAACTAAATAATATATTTACATTCTTTAACACTTGAATAATCCTTAACTGAATAAACATTGTGTGAATCAGAAAGAACTTTAGGCTGGCTGTTTGAATGTTTCATTTTGAATATAATTGATTCATCATGTGACGTAAATAAGAAAAATTTGTATGATTCATCAATACTATAAATTAATTTTATTGCTTATAAAATAAATACATAGAGCTATTCAAACTATTTTTTAATAACATGTCCCAAATCAAACTTTCCCCTCACACATTCAAGTTTCACTCCAGGAACATCTTGAAGTCTCCCAGGTTTAACAAGAACTATATTGTGTTCCTGAAGATTATGTCCAATACCAGGAACATACGCTACCATTTCTTTTCCAGTTGATAATCGAACTAAAACACATTTACGATTTGCAGAATTAGGCTTCTTAGGCTTTTTAATTAGAGTTTTTAAAACAACACCTTTTGCAAATGGTATGCCAAAACCAAGAGGATTTTTATTAGGTCGGTGTTTAATTATTGGACCAGTTCGATGCATCCTTGCCAGAGAGCATCCCGTCCTTTTGCTAAAAACTGTAATATTTTACAAATAACATACTAATATAAGAAAAAAAATTCTATTGAATGAGAAACCATTTATATTTTTACTCACATTCTAAAGATGGCAGGACACTTGATAAGAAGCTGGCTGATATTCTCTGCATCAAAGAATTCATAATCCTAAAAAATATTTAAACCTCAATGAAAATTATCTTGTTATCGTAATAAATAAATAAAATAGTTATCATAATGAATGGATAAGTAAAATGATAATCAATATATATTCTTTTTAATATTGTGTTAGGACTTCAATTTTATTTCTAATAATAAACAAAATGAATTGAACCCTATATTCCTACTTTTCTTTATACCCACCCCTTTATCCCTTTAGGTCATATCAAAAGAAAGAAACCTTACTCTTTAAAATAGAAATGGAATCATTTAGGTTAATTTGCCATGGTGTTCTGTTTATTAGTGGAAATAAAATTATAATAATAATAGCAAAGCAATTAGAAAAAATGTGAGCAATTACATGTATGTAAAACCAGTATTTGAAAAAGTGTCTCGTTAAATGAAAATTAAAATACTTTGATACAATATTCACAAATTGAATCCACGCGTCGAATCAAAACAAACAACAAAGTGAAGGTGAGGAATTTTCAGATGGATGCCTTTACAGGATCATTCGTGAATGGAAGTCACAAGAATGACAAAGATTGCAGGAGATCGCTTTGTTCATGAAGACTCCTACAAATTCAATCATTACTGACCGTTTTAGCTTAGTTGGCGTTGAGATAACAGGCATGGATTTGGTGGATTGTCCACTTACAATAATGTGTTTAATTTAAAAAGCTTATTTAGACATTTTACTTTATAGTATTGGACATCAAGTGAAAAATGGAGTTATAATAATTAATTTCTACTGTCTGAAAAGCGTTTAAACCAAAGTTAGAAAAATATAAGTCAACTACTTACAAAAGTTTTGGAAAAGTATTGCGAAAATAATCGATTTGTTAAGAAAAATGGGAATAGAACTGACAAATATACGTAACAGTTTAAGATTTTTTTTTTCTTTAAGTAAATTGTGAAGTTTCCACTTTTTTAAAAAATTATTGTCCACTTGACTATTTAAAGAAAAAAATAGTTAAAAATGGTTTATACAAATATAAACTAGGGATATAAAAAACTTTTTAACTATTTACTTTTAATAAAAATCAGCAATTTATAATAATTGTGAGGCCTAGGTAAACTAATTTCATTCCGTCCCCGGTACAATCCAACCTATTCTATCTAGAGTGGGAAGGTCGAGTTTCATTCAGTGGGTCCACCATGAAATAAAAGTCAACCCCTCCTAGGGCGGATTCGGCGTCCCGAGGCACGAAGATGTTAGAAGGGGTAACGCTCCAACACACTCGGCCATCATTACCTCTAGTATAATTTCCCACCATCCAGGCCGGGTGCGAATCTGTGCCGCTACTCTTGAGAATAAATGGTACAGCAGGTTGAGCTATAACATGCTCGGCCATCAGCGCATCTCCGCCTTCAGACCTATCTTCATTCCCTCTAATCTTTCAAAACCACTTGAAAGATTAGTCCATTCACAGCTTAATATCTTTATTCAGAAAAAAAAACTATTTTTCTCCTCCTTGAAATATACATATTCTAATTGTGGGTAAATGGTTGACTGTGAATAATAATGAGAAGAATAGTTGGGATGATCAGTCAAATAAGAAGGCAAAAATAAATGATAATATTTATTTTGACATTTGCCGACGTTTCGCCATGAAGTTCAAGCCTTCATCGGGACTAAGAAAAGAACCAGATAACAAGGTAGCCTAACAAACTGAGGTAGCCTGAGTTCTTTTCTTAGCCTGAACTTCAGGTCGAAACGTCGGCAAATATCAAAATAGATATTATCATTTATTTTTGCCTTCTTATTTGACTGATCACCCCAACTATCCTTCTCTTCATTATACATATTCTACTTCGTATAAAACTATCCAAGATATTAAATCATCCAAATACAAACCGAAAATCTCGTTCTGAGTTCTCTTTAATTTTTTTAATGTCTTCAATTCACTTAATCATGAAATCCTCCTTTCCCAACTCCGAAACCTCTCCATATCAATAGCACGTTTTTTTTTTTTTTTTTTTTTTTTTGTTCTCTTCTTTCTCACCTTTTAGCCTATACGGGAATTTCTCGAGATAGGGGTGAGGGCGGGGGAGATATGCCAGAGCTAAAATCCCTCCGGCACCGAGAAGTGAACTAGTAATTATTTTATTATCCATAACTTCGGTTATCAGGTTCCGAGCACCGTGCAGTGCTGTGCACCCTGCGTGTTAGAATGCTAGGTGTTAAAACGTGCAGTGCTGTGCAGTGTGTTAGCCTGCTTGGCCGCTCCGTCCGTAGATTCCCTATAGTTACGTTTTTGTTTTTGTTCTTTCCTACCTCGCCTTTTAGGCAATACGGGATTTTCCTGGGCCGGAGGGTGAGGGCGGGGAATTTAAAATCCCCTCCGGCACCGGGATGCGAACCCATACTTTTTAAATCTTCTCAAATCTCTTATCCTGTTGCCAGGCAACTCGCGGTCCAGTGCACAACGCTTTAGCCCATTCGGCCACCCCGCCCCCATAAGATTCCCTATAGTTATCATTCTCTATAAAACTCCTTCCTCTCCCCTCTTATTAACTCGTGGTGCACCTCTGGGATCTTTGCTCTCGCCAACACTTTTCCCCATTAGTATAAATGACTTTCCTGATCCCTTCCATTAATTATAATACCACCTATATTTTATGACCCCCCAAATCTACTATTTCTTTCATGCTATTGAGATGATTGAAGCGACTCCAAGATATAAACTGTATCAATGCATGGACAGCATGAAATTTTTTGAGGTAGAAAGATGGAAGATGGATTCATTCTTATGGGTTCCAAGCATCCTTCTTAATTCCATTCCTTATTAGACTCCAATTCCCATTAGTGGCCAACCTATTTGCTTCCACTGTTTCTCTGGAAAGGTTGGGGTATATTTTGATCAATACCTGTCTTGGAATAACTATATTTCCTGAATAATCCGAAAATCTATTTTCACAATTATTATTTAAATTGATTGCCAGTTCAAATATGTAAACTTACTGACATTTATTTATCTATAATTATATTTGTTTACTAATGCTAATGCTTGTAATTTATTTTGATTTTATTGTTTTATAGCTTTTTAATTTAGAGGTTTCTTGACTACCATTTTGAGTCTGAAAAACATAATTTCAATTGCTTATTTTTATTATTCTCAGGGGATTAACTGTTCCAGAATAAAATTTACTTTTCCTACTTTTTTTTAAATTTGTTAACTAAGGAAAATGTGAAACAACATTGCTGTTATCTTCCCCAACTTACTTAATTTAGGCAATCTAAGCAAGCTCATGGAATAAAAGGTATTAAACTTTTAACCCACATGTAAGTTCTTAGATTTGATATATTAAAGATGTTCAGCACTGCTTTTCTTATCTTTTTATTTATTTTTCTGAATCTATTGAAGGTAGGTTATACTCCAGGAGGGTCTTGGACCTCTAAAGAGATTCAGAGTTGACTATGATGTTTGATTAATGAAAATAAAAATAATGCAGTTCAATATAATATAAAATTTAATTATTTATCAAAAGTCTAAGTAAATATAAAAGTTGATTCAAACCATATCTGGACAGGGTTTTAAATGAAATTTTTTAAAGATGGATATTTTTGTTGCCATTTTTCTTTTTTTTTTACAAAATTATTTATCATCCTTAAAATATTTTACAATACAATTTTGTATTTTACATTTTAAGAAATAAATTGTTTGTGATGATATTTTCTTTTAAAAATACTAAGTACCGAAAGTGTATTTTACTTGGTATTTTAAATGTTCAAGATACATTACTAAATTGACTTGGTTCCTTTAAAATAATACTATATTGTAAAATAAAATTATAGAAGGGTTTTCTCAATGTTTAAACATTTTTTTTAATAATAATAATAATGCTTTTGTCTTGGTTTGATTAAAACTAGTACATTATTATGGAGATACCTATAAGTTTATAATCCAAATCAGATTTTCAAATAAAGATACTTCTGATATTGATACATTAATCAAATGTTTAAAATAAAAAGAAACCAACAGTTTAAGGGGGGTAAATTGTCTGGCATTATTTCTAAATTATTAAATTGTCATTTTATGAATAGAGATAAATTGCTGCTGTCAAAGTGATGTTATGGTCATAAATTGACCTCAATTTTCTTCTAATCAATAAATCTGCATTGCCTTATACTGTTGGTGTATTTTAGTTAGTTTTCTGATTTTATCACAGACACCAATATGAATCTATCGCTTGACAAAATTATTCTTCACTTGTTTGAGTTTTGGGGTTTGGTATGCGTAAAAATTACTACGGACGGATCAGTATTTTTATATAGGCCTTTTATATTTGGAATTCTTTTGGTGTGGTTGACATTTCCTATTATTTTTTATGGGATGATGTTGGAAATCAATATACCTAACAACAAGTGGATGCCTACTACCACAGCTATTGTAGTTAATTTTATTCACTATGGTGCTATTATATCAACATCTTTAGTTATTGTTGTATTTGCTGCTTGGAATTATAGAACAATTGGAATGACGTATTCCACAATAGAAACTATTGAAAACAAATTGAACATTCATAACAGATGTGTTAAGACGTCCATAATTTTCTTGATTTCAATAATACTCTTGACAATGCTTTGTATTTGGGATTTTTGGACTAGTTTTCAAATAAATCAGATTTATGTCTGGTATATAGCATCTTATATTTATAAAATGTTATTTATAGTATTTATATTTCAGTTACTACTGATTACCAATAGAATAAAAGCTCTGTTTCGAGCCTTAAATACACAGCTTATAAAAACACTACAATCAACAGCAAAGCAATGTATGCATAAAAATCTGCCTGCTGTTGAGATATTATCAGGTTATTACTCTTTGATATCATTTCTGATTATTTTGAAAATAAAGGTTTTGAAAATGACTAGTTAGTTTTCGTCTAGTGAATGGATATAATCATTCCGTGTTAAGCTCAATTATTCCATTTTTATATTGAGGAGTAATTCTAGAAAATGTTTACTTTGTAATTTTCTATCTTTTAAGATGATTTCACCTCTTTATTGATTATATCAAATCACTCTAGGAGCTTGTTTTTAATATACATAATGAAACAATTATTTATGAGTTTAATTTTATAGTAAAATAAGTTTATACAAAATTATTTAATATAAGAAATAAAATAATTATTAATCTTTTATGTTCTAGCTTCTACTAAAATATATGCATCAGAAATTAAAACTCTGCCTTCACTGTGTGACATTCATTGGGATATCTGTGAAGCTATTGACCATTTCAATACAGCTTTCAAGATACAATTACAGTTTCAGTTTTTTACTATGTTCATACAATTAGTAGACTGTCCTTATTTCATATTTTTAACATTAAAAGAATCAATGTCTTCAAGTTTACATTTTCAGTTTATAATGGCATCCCTTGGCTACACTATATTACAAGTAGCACAGATTTTTGCTATAGTTCTGCCATGTGGTGCGGCAACAAAAACTGTTAAGTATTACTTCATTAAAGTAAAGTTTGCTACTATTTAGAAAAATAAAATACACATTAGTACTAGTCTTTATCATCACCTCGTTTAAATAGTGAATGTTCATTATTTACCAGAAGTAGTTTTAAAAGAAAACTTTTAGTAATGGGGAAGTTAAAAGTATAACATGAATGTTTTTAGGGCATGTGAATGTAGCTATTTTCACATTTCTTAATTAAATGTGGACATGAATATAGGAATACTCTTGAATTTGTCCTATTTGTACTAATTTATAAAAAATGGATGATTATTCTAAAAATTGAATATATATATATATATATATATATATATATATATATATATATATATATATATATATATATATATATATATATATATATATATATATGTTTCCTTAAAAGGATTACAAATTTTGGGCTTAAAATATAGTCAGGAATTGTTTGATTATTATTTATTGGAAAACTGAATTTCAAGAATTATTATTGCATTTTGGAGTATATTCGTTTGTGAAAGAAAAGAAAAATATTCAAATTTTGCTTCAGAATGTACTCAACTTTTTTTAAATTATTTCAATTTCCTTTTCAACTAGTGATGTTTAATCAGTCAAATTTCATTTGGAAGAAAGATTATTTAAGATAATCTTGTGCATAATTTTTATTGATGTAGTCTTTACTTATTTGGTTTATTTTTTACTTTGTACCGACTAATATTAATGTTGAAGCACAAACTTTGACATTCTCAAGTCTAGAGTCACCAGTTCGAATTCAACCTGGGCAGGTTTAAATTTATGTGGCAAGCCCATAGAATGAATCTCAACTCTCCTCTCCATTTCTGATTAGATTTGTTTGTATGTCTAAAACAATCCTCTATCCATTTGCCAGATATGGAGAGGAGGTAGGGGGTAATCGAAAGAAAAATTGAATAATTATTGCATAACTTATAGCAATAAAAACTAATTAATTTTGTAACACAGGGGAATGAAACATCTTTCATCCTTTGCAAGCATTTACATTCTGGCCTTCCAATGGCTATGAAAAAAAATGTAAGTAATTAAATGACCAATATAACCTAAGCCCTTAATATTTATATTGAGAGGTTTAATTATTATCTTATTTTTTAATAAGTATAATGATATATATATATATATATATATATATATATATATATATATATATATATATATATATATATACATATATATATATATATATATATATATATATAATGTTTTATATATATGAAACTTTGAGATCTGAAATAAGAACTGTATACAAATAAACATATACAAATATACACTGACAGGCAAAAAATTCCACCCACTTGATTTTTTCATCTAAAAATATTTCTGCTTTGGATTGGTCTATTGTTTTTAATGAATAAATAGGTAATCTTTTTGTTTGTTTTCAATTAGGAATGTTAATATAGAGGACAATAACCCTTAATCCATGATTCTAGATTCCAATGTTTACTTTTTATGGAATCAAAATGTTTATTCAATATCATTAGTTCAGTGCCGTTTCTTGCAGCACATTTCTTGGTCTCCGGCTTTTAATTTTTTCAATATTAAGTTTATAAATGCCTCTTAGTGCTGAGGATGTTGCGCGTGGTGTGGCACTTATTGATGATGGACGTTCCATTAGATATGCAGCTAATGCCATCAGAGTTCCATATGAAACTTTATGAGAGGCATTTTTGGGAAACTGGTTCTTACAATAGAAGGCCCGTTTCTGGACGGCCTAGGGTAACAGAACCACAGGATGACCGGTTTTTGACTTTGAGAATTTTACGAAACCGGCACCTTACCGTTGCTCATGCGATTCATCAGCTCGAAGAAATTTCTGAACGTACCGCTCGGAGAAGATTAAATGAGTATGGATTAATTAATGGCTTTTCCTCTAGTAAGAGGACCAGAGTTGACCAGAACTCACAGAGTAACACGGCTGGCTTTTGCTCGAGAACACAGCCATTGGACTATGGACGAATGGAGTGTTGTACTTTTTACAGATGAGTCAAGATTCGCTCTTCGATCTCCAGATGGGCGTGAAAGGCTGTGGAGAAGAAGAAACGAAAGATATGTAGCCTGTAATTTTTCCCAGAGCCAACCTTTCCAACGTGGTTCCTTAATGGTGTGGACAAGTGGGTAGAATTTTTCGCCTGTCAGTTTATATGCTTCTAATATTGACAAATATTTATTGTTCTCTGGATATTTATTCATTGAAAGTAATATTGATTTGAAGCTATATTTCTTTAAATATATTGTGATTACCATTTAATTTCTTTTTTTTTTTAAATTAAATCTAAACTATAGATGGAAAATCATAATAAAATATAATTATAATAATAATAATAATAAATTAGCAGATTTAGTAGACAAAGGCATGGGTTACAATCATGAGGGGTGGGATGGCAAATGAGAGGATCATCCCAGCCAGATTGTGGACATATATTACAGCTACTATAATATTAGTTTTTAATAATTTTAATTGTAAGCAACCAGCCTGAGCTTCGAAATTGATTACTACTCATCATTATTCTCTATTTAAATCAATATATATATATATATATATATATATATATATAAAATTTCTATTTAAACAAAATAGAGCACTGACTGATTTGAGAGTGATTGTGTGACAGGTGAAATCTCTTCCTAAGTTCTTACAACTGAAGCGACAGCCCCACAGACAAATCACTGCCATCATTATTTAAAAAATTACAGAATATAATTTTTATCTTAATATTTTCCCTCACACATTTATAGTTTAAACTTTTTAGATCAAGTAAACTCAAAGCCATGATCCAACAATTTTTCTCTGGGTTAAGAGTTACAATTTTGAAGTTTCATTAAAGCCTGTTGATATTTTGGTAATGATATATTAAAAATTCCTTTTGAAATTTTTATAACTAAAATATAACAAAAACCAAATCTACTCAACTCTTCCAGTGCATTTATTATTGTTTATTTAGGTTTATTACACATTAGTCCCAGAATAAAATTATTTTTTCATTTCATTTCATATGTTCATATACTCATGAAACTAAATCTAGAACATCTTATTTATTTATTTTTACTTAAAATAATCCTACATTATGGTTTTCAAAATCATTATGGGTGGGTTTTAAAATGTTTAAGTATTATGAATTTAAATATAGGTTAATTTATTTAAAATATCTTTTTGCCTTATAAAGAGGAGCAGGGTAAGGTATTGACTTCCAATGCTCAAGGTCATTGATACAAATCCGACTGATGGCATTTAATTATTTATTCTGTCACATCAGCAGTGGATTAACCCTTGAGACATCCAGCCTCTATAAAATGGGTACTCTTAATTAAATTATTAATTAAGGGGAAAAACTTGAGTGAGATCTCGACCCAATCACTTTTCCTTGCTCAAATGGCCTTGAATCAGTACTTCCTAACCTGGCACTGAACCCAAGACCCTTCATGGGTTGTAGTTGTACAGGTTTTTTTTTTTTGCTTTATTAAACCTTTTAAAAATCCTATCATACATTGTAAATAAATAAGGTTGCTATTAAATATTCTAAATTTGATGTTTACATACATATCAACATTTTGTACACTGAAGTTGATAATGACTACTAAAAAAAAATTTTAAATGAATTTATTTTTCAAATTTAATTTTAATTTAACTTCCGGCACATGGTTTTGTTTCAGATCAAATCCTTCTTAACTCTGCTAGAAGTTCATAGAACTGATTTTCACTGTGGCATTTTCAAACTGAATGAATCTGTGATTTCAGCGGTACTTACTGCAATTATTAACTTTTAGTTGTTAATTAAAATACTTTATAAGCCCATTATATCCTAAAAAATCAAATTTTATTTATATTAAATAAATCAAAGTATTTTCATTTATATTCAAGGAAAAACAAAGCCTTTGTATTTAAAACAAAATTTAGTATATAATATTTAGCTCTAAGAAAGATAAAAAAAAAAGAAAGCTTATTTAGATAACACAGAATTGGGTTATGCATCCAGTAAATATAATTGAGCTTATAATTTTGTAACATTTCAAATGGTTGGGAAAAGTTATTTGGATGGACAAACAATAAATGATGGAAAAGTAAATCAGAGCTGAACTGACAAGTCAAATTTGATATAAAAATACATGAAATATGACAAGTAAAATTTGGTGTGTGAAGATATGAAATGTATAAGATGAATAAAACTGTGTTAACTGGCCATCCAGATTTAGGTTCTGACAGAATCTCTTTAGTAGATGGAGGTATACAAGCAAAGATTGTTAGTGGTATTGGAATCAAAACCTTGTTGAAAATATTTTGATTTGTTAAAATTACCATTCAGACATCTGTACTATTCCATAAGAAATGTTATGTCTAGAGTAAGTCCGATTCAGATTTTTTTTTTCTGCTGGTGTAAAGCCTGTAATAGACCTTGCAGATCTTTTGCCACCTTAACAAGCCATCTTTGCCTGTCTTGGGCTATTTCTTTCCAGTTATTTGCACACAGCTCTAAATTAATTAGGATCTGACAGAATTATTGCATCGTCTCTCTATTGCATTGCTGTTGATTCTATCTATCCATCTGATTTTTGGCCTTTAACGTAGTCTTTTGTCTCCTAATGATGCATTCATTGCTACGTAGAGGCTTCCTGATGGACTGCTACGAGCTATATGAGCTGGGCCCTATTTTAACCTCTGTGCCTTCATATCATGGAATATTGATTAACCAGTTTCTGTTAGCAGTTATTTATTGGTTTTTCTTCTGCATATGTTAGTACTCTGACCCCAGATTGCTCCGGTTATCGTGCGGAGGATTTTTCTATCAAATCTTTCAATACTTTTTCTAGGATGCTGGTTAGTATCCACGCCTCACAGCCATATATTCGAACAGGCTTTATCATAGCATTCTACACTCTTAATTTGAGATTTCAGTACCTTTGAAAAGGAGAAGAAAGCTCTGTTTGTGCTAGTTATACATTGGTCTATTTCTGACCATTGGTCATTCATTGAGGTTATTGTGGAGACATGGTACTTGAATTTTTCTACTCTCGAGAATGATTTTCCTTCTACGCATATCCTGTTATCGGGGTGGAATTTTCGGCTTGTTAATATATATTTTGCTTTGTCTTCATTTACTTGTTTGCCGATCTGCTCTGCCTCTCTTATCAGGGTCTTAGCGAGTTTCTCAATGTCCTCTTGATTACTTCCAAGGACAGCTATATCATTTGTATATCCAAGGATTTTTTTTTTTTAATTATTAACATTAAAAAGTTAAATGTACTTCTACACTGAAATGACAGTTGTACGTGTATGAACTACCTATTTGTAGTTTACAATGTTTGAAGATCATAGTCCATTTTTTCACATATTTCAAAGGATTATTATAGGTATATTAGAAAGACAGGTCATAGTCTTGTGGGTTTCTGTGAACATGGAGATGATAGTTAGAAGTGTTTCTAATTGAGATTAATATCAGAACATAAGGATAATTTTATTGTTAACTTTATCAAAATATGATAAATATTATTTCTTTCATACTGTCTATTACAAAATATAAATTGCAAAGTAAATATTATTAGTTTGACTTATTTATTGTACAATTAATATATTTTTATTTTGTTGTGATTTTCAGGTGACAGGAAGTGTAACTACTTACCTTGTGATTCTTATTCAGTTTCAAAATCAAGATTTTGATTCATAAGATTATAAAAATTATCGTGACATCATAATTTTTCCATCAATTTTGTAAAGGATTACATAGGTTATGAGGAATAATACAGGTCTATTTCTTCTATAAAATGGCAATAAGACACTAGATAAGCATTGAAAACCTTTTTGGTTGATAAAGTTGTACAAGTTTGTAGCTAATTCCACAGGAGATGATTGTATAATCAGAATAGCAAACATTAACTCATACAAATCAGAAAACAAAAATACTAATATCTAACATTCAAATAGTATCATTAAATAGATTTTGATTAAACAATGATACTGAAACCAAAATCTCATCGTCTATAATATACAATATTAGATGAATTTACTAAGAGCAAATTTATTTGTTGAACAATCATATTTAAATTTTTCAGGTATTATTATGCTTAGGAATTGCTATAACAGCACGAAACAATCTGGCAATAACAAAAAAAAAAATATATTAATTTTCTAAACACAACTTTCCTTGTTGACAAATAAATTTTATGCCAACAATGGATGGATGATTCGGAGACCAAAATCCTGAATTTCACTTCCTTGCCAAAAACAATTCGAGGCTAAAAGCCATAACTACTTAGGTTGAATAATGTGGTGGATGATTGAACATGGAATATGAAACAAATTTTTAAAACATTAAGAATCCTAAAATAACTGTTAAAATTGAAATGGGTATTATAGATAACTTGTTAATAATACTCCAAAACACAATGAATAAAATGAAATAAAGAATGTAGATCTTCGGAACAGGTTGCAGGAAGGCATTAAAGATATAATATATTGGTGGTGCAAAGCAATGATTTATAATTAAAGGCTCCATGGGTTACAAATCTATAGAAATTCTACAGTAATTGGTGGCTATTAGTAAAATACATTGGGAAGGATAATACAAATTTAAAGCCTAAAAAGTTTTGGAAACAAAATAAGATTGTAAGAATGCTGTCTGATTTCAGGTTATTTTGCATTACACATAGTTTTATCCCTGGACATTATTGTGGAGATTGGAAACTTCTACTTTTTAAAATGATAAGCAGCTAATAGATTTTCAAAATTTTTCTGAAATTTATAAAGTTCCAGGAATGACAACGGAAATGGGATATCCTCCAGGATGATGAAGAGTAAAAAAAAAAAAAAATCATTCAACTTTCTAAGACAATAGGGTTATTATCATATCCTGGTGTAAACACAAATTAGCTGTTTTGAAAAAAATACAAACTAATCTTTTTTCATAAAATTGGACTTGAGTAATTTTACAATTCCTGATTTTTTTTTTTATGATTACAACTCTCCACCCTGGTCTTTAATCAATTACATAACACCTTAATATAAAAGGGATTTTTTCCAGATGATCAATTTCATTTAGAAAATCAATCTAAATTAGAAAATAGAAAAACCTGCACCTAAGGATCATCAAAAACAGCTACCTAGTTGTAATACATTGTAATCCTAACTTAATGGAACATTTCTGTGAGATTATTTCTATTTTGCAAAACTTGTAGTTAACTTTTTGAAATATCCCTCCTACAATATAATATATAAATTAAAACATGTGTTATTGATCCTCAAAGATTTACAGGATTGTGCAAATGCATAACTGAAATAATGTTTTATAATTTAATAAATCTTATCTACATAGATATTTTTTACCCATTTGTTTAATTTTTAGAACTTTTTGATGCTCTTATTAATATAATGTTTTTGATTGCTAATTTACATTATTCTACATGACATTAGTAATTTGAAAAAATGTTTATTTACATACAGGGTGTTTCGTAAGTAGAGAGCGATCTTTATAGGAGTTATAGCAAACCTTAAGAGCTATAAAAAGGTTCATACAAATAATGGGCCAGTTGTCAGCAGAATAGTAGGAGATCCAAGTTTTGTGTTGAATAGGAAGCGATAACTAAAGATATATTTAATTTAAGTAATTAAGTTGCTTCGCTATAAACAAGGCAAAATTTAATATAAATGAAAATAGATTTTGTCACTTTTTAACCTTTTAATAAGCCATTTAAAGAGGCTTTTGAACGGCTAAGTTCTATTTTTAAATTAAATCATAAATTATTTCCATTTTTTTAATCACCACCCAACTATACTACAGATACCCCACTTTTAGAAAAACTTCCTTGTTTAATAAACTTTAAGTTCATATTATATTTTGTGTAAAATCTTAACGCCATAAAAAACAAAACAAAGAAAACAGATCCCAGATCATGGAGAAATAAGAAATAAAAGCTTTGCAACAGTTAATTGTTGTTTAATTTTTTTCTGAAAACATTGGCACTTTTAGGTGACACGATATAAGATCACATAATTTTTTTTATACAACTTGAGGCGAATCTCAAGTTTTTACCTGATAAACTTCAACTTAGTTAATATGAACTTAAAGCTTATTGAATGAGGAAATTTTTCTAAAAGTGGGGTATCTGTAGTATAATTGGATAATAAAAAAAATTTAGGAATAATTTTTAAGTTTTTTAAAAATGTGTCTTAAATTAATGATGTAGAGATGGTTGACCGTGATATGAGGAGTTGATTGGGGGGTGGGGGGTAGGTGCGGTCAATGTGAGTGTTTCAACTGCCTCCCGCAGTGCTACATCCTACACCCTGATGAAGACCTGCAAAGCGGGTCGAAACGTCGGTAAAAAAATTAAATAATACTATTTGTATAATTTAGTATTTATTTGACCGCACCCCTCCGATCATTCATTATTTATATGAACTTGTTTTTAGCTGTTGAGGTTTATTATCGCTCCTATCAAAATTTCCCTCTACATATGGTATGCCCTGCATATATAAAATAAAATAACAGTGATTTTGGCAAAGAAATTGTTAGGAATACATTAAAATTGTTAAATAATTTTATTTTGTTGATTATTTTTTGCAGTCCAAACAGCACTACATTTGTACTCTGATTTAACATATGAATATATATATAAAAGGTCATAGACATATCAGTAAACAATTCATATGTGAAACTTAAACAAAATCAATTCTAAATAATTTAAAAAAAAAATGAAATATTACCTTAAAGAAATAAAATTATCTTAAATATTATTTACAGTCTCTTCTTAGCTAACACTAATCTTCATTTAGTGCTGTACATAAACAGGATATTGTTTCACTATTCATGTAACAGTTTAGAATTTATTCATTATTTCTACAACCACATCCCCCAAGTGGCTTCCTCATAGTTCAAAATATTAACAACACAAACACATCCTTACATCGAAAAAAAAATATAAATAAATTCAACAAACGAATTGCTAGGATAAATGAAGATCATAAACAAATACTTAAATTTTAAATTACATATTTTTAAACTCCCATAGTTTAGGGAAAAGTCATATAGAGTAGCTTAAAATAATAATGAAACTATTTCTACCAATAAATATGTGGAACTTATATGATTAAGTGTGGAAGAAAACTGTTTATCAGAAATTAAAAAAATATCACAATTGTACAGTAGATATAAAATAGTTAATTGTACTTTAGAGAACATATTACGTATAATCATTAACCAAAAGAAAAACAAAAAAAATTTAGTTCAGAAAGAAATATAGAACAAATAAAAAACTTGAGAGATTTTCTAAATATATGGTTTGTTACAAAGCTGAGGAAAAAATACTGACTTTTTATTTTGTATGGAAGCTGCTTACTTGAGCAAGGAACAGACGAATGGTGAACGGTAATTGTGGTTGGAAAATGTACCAAGAAAAATTTTATTGGATGTTTGAAAAATTTATGTTGCCCATGATTTGAAAAATGATATCCACAAGGATGCTATAATTGTTTTTAAAATTCAAAAGATTATATTTTTAGTTTTAAATATACCACATTAATATCTGATTTAATTCAGGAAAAATTAAAAAAAAAAGAAGTAATATTCATATCCAATTAACCTTAACAATATTTACTAACACACAGCTTACAAAAATAAAAGACTACTTTGCTCAAAGTTTAGTAAAAAATACTAATTCATATTTTTGGATTGATAGGACAAAAATTTAATTTGTCCTTTAACTATTAGAAATGAACCTCCTTTTGTTTTCTTGCTATCTGACATGTGATTAAAGAAAATTTTAATAAATAAAAGATAGATTACATAAATTATAACTTTGATGAAAATAAGCCATAATTACATAAAAACAAAAACACTATATTGTATTATTGATAATGAATTCAGTTCAGGTAATAGCACAGATTTATGTTCAACAAGTAATGATTATCACTTAAACTGTAAAATATTTTGTTGTATTTCATGAAACATAAGCTTGGAGGATGACATTAATAAAATGTAGATGAAATAACAATTTATTAATCAATAAATTAATAATTAGATCAGAACTTTAACCCTTTGACTGTGAACAGGATACATGCCTTCCCTTCAAGAATTGGGTCACCGGTGTGGATGGGATATATGCCTTCATGGTATTGAGTTGGGTTACTGATGTAGCTAGGATATATGCCTTCCATCCTGGGCGGTCGCCACTTAAACAGATAGGAGCAAATCCCACGTTCACCATTTGACTTGTGGCTTGGTGGGTGCATTTATTAGTTCGCTGTCGTGACTCAGTGTTGTCGTTTCGGACTCTCCACCATTTGGAAGCTATCATTAGCAGCTTTATCCTGAACGCAAGGTATGTCCCTTCTCTGTTACTTCTGCCATATCCATGATCATATTTATATTTTATTTAAATGTTTTATACATCAAATAAATGTTAATAAGTTAATTTCTTCCTAATTCTGGTTTTGACTGAATGCAAATTTTGGTGCATGTGAATCTCTGTATACATACATGTAAATACACACACAAACTCTATTTTTATAATTTTCAGTTATTTATTTATACAACAAATACTGTAGAAAGCGAAGTATTGCGGGAATGCCGCTCTAATTTTGCATTGAAATGTGCAGACAGGAAGGCATATATCCTGTTTATTAAAAGTTGAATAAAAAAGTTCAAATGCATTTTTGAAAGCTAAGATCTTGCAGGGTCTCTCAAAATAGCATTTTGAACAAACTTATGGAGAAAAAAAATCTGTTTTTCTGAACGTCTTTTTGGATTTCGGGATGCACCATCTGATAGAAACATAGAAATCAGCTTCCGCAGTCAAAGGGTTAAAATAGTAAGAACAGGCTTGTTCTCCTACATGATCAATGTTTATCTGTATCAAGAACGAAAAGACAAACAGTAACATACAGGACCAATCAGTGACTGATTACTTCTTTTCAAGATTCTAGACTATTATCTAAAAACTGAGGGTTTGAAAACAGAGTTGCAAACCAAAAATTTATTTCCTATTAAATGCTGAGCTTTTAAGAAGAGAAAATTAGAAAAAAACAGTGGAATTAATCGTTATAAAGAAGCCGATGATATTTTGAATTATTCACAAAATTATAATGGATTTTTTCATGTTAATAAATATTATCCAGATTCAGATTACTTTCAGTTCCTAACAATTTTAATAATCAGGTTCTGACAATAAAACTTAGATTCATATATACTCTGTTAAAAATTGAGACACGGCAACTTAACAGTTTTATTCAGCAACTTAACAGGAATTTTATTTTCATTCTATTTTATGAATATTTTCATAGTTTTGAGGTGAGATCATTAAAAGATGAACAGTATAGTTTTCTCTTAAACAAAAATATGGACTGTCCTTAGAAATTACTATGAGGAAACCGACATAGCCAAGCTAAATCATCTCATATATAACAATAAACATATACTATAATTCTCACATTATCAATTATCCAACTTTATACAAATACAATTTTGTTCCCAAACTGTTGTCTAATTACAAGAATAAAATTAACTACAAATATATATATACAATTTACAGGAAGCATTTATCTTTTTATACTACATGTCAATTATGCCCTTAAGGCTGGAGGTAAATGCAGAACACAAATTTTAGAATATTAAGAAGACATTACATTTTAATATAAATGTTTTGTTTAAATTTAATTCTGTCTTATTGCGAGCAATGAGTGAGGCACACTTTTCATTTTGAAATAAAATCTACACTCATTTTGTAACATGAAAATGAAATAAACTCTTAAGATTAAACACTTACTGATAACTAAGAAATAATATATTAGAAATTCAAATAACAATAGCCATTATAAATTTTGAATTTTCGGCGATGAATTTTGTGGGCACTTGTGATAAATATTTCTGTGATATATTCATGTAATTATTTTTCTTTGGACTAAAAAAAGATTATTCAGTTCAAATTTCAAATAAGAACAATTAATGCCGATAGAATTCTTCCTAGATTCTGAAGCACAACACAAACAACAGTAAAAAAATAATCATGGAATCATTTGAAGTATAATAATAAATAATTGATAATAAAATCAAGAAACATTATTAATAACAAAGTTTCGAAGCTAACCAATCAGATATAACAACAAAAACTATTTATTTCAGAATAAGATTTGATTTAAAGTGATGTTTGATAAAGAATATTTTTGTTAACCATTGCCTGCGATCATAGGATAATTTCAAAATATAAAAAGTGTCTTCAAAACTTTAAATAAAGAAAGAAATATTTATGCAGGACAAATTTCAACAAACATATAAATGAAATGAAAGTAACAATCAAAATAACTTAATTAAACATAACATTACATTAAGTTTGGGAACAAATACAAGATATAATATAAATATACAATATATAAACTTTTGTTAATATATTTACAGGGAGGGGGCTAGAGGTAGGCCGAATGTCAGCCATTAGAGTGCTGGGAGGGGGTGAGCCCGCCAGTAGCACCTTCTGGGCTGTGCTTTGCTTTCTTTCGTTTCTTTTCCTTCTTTCTCTTCTTCCTCTCTTTCTCATCGTCATGCCGTTTAGTCTTTTTATGTTTCTTTTCATGAGCCTCTCCCCCTCCTTCACCAGCACTTAACTCTCCACCCCCTCCTCCAACCCCCTCCCCACCTTTATGTTTATGCTTCTTATGTCGACTTTTGTGCTTCTTCATAGGAGCTTGGTTAACATAGCGGTACTGCTCTGGCAGCTGGAAGGAGAAAAAGTAAAATAATTACTAAAAAATACCTCGAAAACTGTACATAATATGAAAATATAACTACAAGAAATATAACATAACAATATAAATAATTGGTTTGCACTGGAGAATATTTATTTTTATTTAAAAATGATAATTTTTTTATTTTGTTACTATAATTATTTTTATATCTTATAACATTTAAACGCAGAAGTCAAACCGCAATGAAATGAAAAAAAAAAATGACTCAAGCAATGTAAATATATTTTAGCTTTCAAGTTGTTAGTAGAATAAAATACATATAACTGTTGTTCAATATAAAAACTTTGTTAGATTGATATAACATTATTCAATATTATTAATTCCTTTGACTCCTACTGGAGCATAGAGCGTCCAAGAGTGCTTTCTATTTATCTCTATTAGTAGCAATCTTCCTTGCCACGATTTACCAAACTGGTCCTACTCCCTCTGTGCCATGTCTCTCTTGGTATGAGTTTCTTTCTGTTTTTCTCTGAGGATTCCATTGTATTGCTGTTTTTGTTCATATTACTTCATCTTTTTTCCTCAGGATGTGCCTTACCCATTTCCATTTTTGCTTCATTATCTCTAAATGGATAGGTAGATGGTTGGTCACCAAATCCTCATTATTCTAGCAGGGATATGTTAACAAAAGTCTGTAGCAGACGGGTGGTGCTTTCGGTCACTTCCCATGTTTCACTGCCATAAAGCAGGACTGATTTCACGTTTTTTTAGATTTTAGGTGTTAGATTTTTGTTCTTCCGTACCGAGTTTAGCTGAACAAAAACTCTATTGGCCTTTTTTATTCCCATCTTCCGCTGAACCACCTTACTTTTTGCTTATGCTTCCCAGGTAGAAAAGTACAAAAAGAAGTTAACCTGTTCCACGGTTTTGCCCATCAAGAGGATCCCAGCATCATTCATTCATCCTCACCACAACATTATCCATACTTGTTTTGTAATAATTTAAAAATAAATATAAAATTTACTTTAATGAATGGAAACTAACTCTTCCTTCTTTTGGTGTTTAAACAAGTCATATAGCTCTAGTTGGGTATATAATAATGATTGTGATATAATCATGAAAGATAAATTAGTAAAAATAATTATGTAGATAGTAGAAAGATTGGAAAATCATAATTTGATAATTAACAAGTAAAATTGGTGTTAACAGGAAGAACAAATTACTGATGTAATTTAATTATAACACTAATATTATAAATAACTATAGGATCTCGCAAATCCAAACATTTGGGTTCATTTATAAGGTTACAGTGCTTTCAATAATTGATCATATTTTACAATCATCGAAGGTGATAATTTCAGGATTATTTTTGTTGAAAGTTTCATTATGTTCTGTTAATATTTAAAATGAGAAAGTGTACAAGTTAAATTGGGAAAAATACATAATTAAACACGATTAAATTATATCTGACCTCATGGGTTTAAAACATGAAACAGATTAGATTCTTTATTTTTTGACTCATCATAGATAATCAGAAAAGATAAAAAGTTCTGAACTTCTATCATAAAAAAAATATGGAATATTGAAACAATACATGTAACACTTTGAAAAATCTATCTTTTATAAATAACAATAAAAATTAGAAATAAATGTAAGGCCTATCCCATGTCACATTCCAGTGAAATCAAATCCCAGAAAACTGAAGATTTTGAAAACAAATCTGATGATTTGCAAGATTTATAAATAACTACAATATTTCCATAAGGGTGTGTTCACACCAAAGGTATTATTGGCTGTTCATTTTTTTTTTTTTTCAGATGAATAATCTTTGATGGACGTTGTAATTGAATTTATAGTTCATGTCCTACAATCCTTATATTGTGTAAACCCTATTATCACAGTGACAGGTAAATATATTTTCAAAGTGACAAGCAAACATTCAGGTTCCTAGTCTTCTGACTTTGTCAATACACCATTAGTGTAGCTGATTAATTATCTCTGGATATCTCTCAATGTTCCAATAGATTCTTATTCTTATTCATCCACCACAGTGACTTATCATTGGTATTAAAACTGGTTAGATATAATACAATTTTAATTTACAACAGAATATTACAGTTTTAATTTTATCAGCTGTGCTTTTAAATTGGGTAATATTGGTTTGTTCTCAGTCTTTTCATTACAAACATAACATTTATCTTATGTAGCTTGCTATAATGTATATGCCTTTCTCTCTATATTTCTTCTGATTTTAATAGAAGGAAGAACTCAAAGCTCCTTGCTTTATAGTATTATCAATATCTTGTGGCGTTTGATGACTTTTTTTTATGGTGCACCAGTAATTTTTTTAACAGACTGGGCCTGGCATTACAGCTTGTAATAAAACTTGAAAATAAATTTATAATATCTATTTTCTTCTACTTAATTATTCTTCTTATATAAAAGATAGAGGTTATTTACAAATTAAATTTAAACAACCAGAACAGAATCATCTGATTCTTTCTTTTCTTTAATTGTTTTTCCTCCCAGTTTTTATTTTAACTCAAGAACAGCGCCAGCCTAAGACATTTGGTGCCCCCGGGCAATGACATCATCCCCCCTCCCCCTGAAATATTAAATTTATTTCTTAAGCTGTTTAATATTATCTGATATTTGAATTTTATATTTTATTTAGCATTCAACATGATAGGCTAAAATTAAATATTTTAATACATTTTGTAATTTTTTTTATTTCTTACAAGTGTTGCGCACCTCTAAAGATAGAGCGACTTCCCAAGCGAGCCACCTAAAGGCCGGCACTGTTCTAGAGTAATATTATTTAATAACAAATAACCTATATAATACCAAGTTTAGGTAAGACATATATGTTTGTATTGTAGTAAAGAAAATACTACTGAACTGGCCTAAAATTTTCAAAACATAGGTTAAGGATGTGGATATTTTTTAAACAAAAAGTATTTTAAATTATTATTATGAATATAACATACGGGTCCTGGATGTAAGCGGAAGCCTGCTAACTGCACAGAGCTTAGAGGTCGAAGTTCCTTTCCAACATGGGGTGGTTTTTCTATCACAGACCTTAAAGAACTGAAAGGATACAATTATAAAATTAATACGATTTAATAAATTTGAAAAATATATATTTAAATGTTAAAAATTACTTATTTATATAATGAATTGTCAAGAATACTATTTTAATTGGTTAATTAAACCAATTAAACTTTCCAAAATAATTATTTTTTATACAAAATTGATCGTAATATTGCATTTCAGATAGTTGAATTTGCATTAATTTAACAATAAAAGAAGAAATAAGGCAACTTTTATTTTTTATTTTAAAGGATAATTCTCAAGCTTGATGCTTAATTAAAAGCACAAGTGAAATTGAGGCAAATCATAGCCAGGAGCTAATGAAAGTTCTTTGATTTCTCAGTATAAAAATATTTTAATATTAAATATTTAATAGTTGACCGTTGCATTATAAAGGAAGGAGATGGTCCGGGGTTGCGGTCATAAACAGGCTAAATAGTTTTTTACCACTATTTAGCCTATTTATGACCGCAACCCCGGACCATTTCCTTCCTTTATATTTTAATATTAACTAAACTGTCAAAGATCTTTTTATATTAAAAACAATATCATAGAAATAAGTATTTTACAAAACTAAAAGAATCCACAAATTTTAATTTTTTTAAAAATACTTAATACACACAAGCAAGAACTAGAAATAAATTAATAATTTGAGTAATAATGGAAGATTAAAATCACAAAGCCAAGAGTCTTTAAAATAACTGTAAGCATCTAACTAGTCAACGTTTCGTTAACCAAAGCAGTAATAAATAACAATATCAAAAGCCAAAAGGAGGGTAGACATAAGTAAAAGCAAATCAGATGAAATATAATTAAAATAAAGAAGTTTATTTCCAGATATAAGCAAAATACTTAAAGATAAAAAATGTGTACACTTCAGGACAAAAAATGTTATTTCTTTCTAATACCCTATTAATGGAAATTCAATGCTCACAATGACAGTAAAGAATCATATGTACAAATTTAATTAATCAATAATAAAAAAATGAAAGAACATATCAAATTTAAAAATAATAATAATAACAAGACATTCAGGAGTTGTTGGAAACATAAATGGAAATAATTACAAAAAAATATTATAAACAGCCTACATAATCCAATTCCATATATTAAAGAAGCAATAAAAACTACATGAAAATTGAATCAAGTCAATCTGTACCTCTGATAGGACAAGTTTCTAAACGTGTGCTGAGCTTGACTTTAAGTTTAGAAACTTGACTATAATACACAAATTGTCTTCCATATTTACATGATTCAGTTTAGATAATTCAGAATTTCCATTGTTAATTCCTAAAGTAATTATGATTAATTAATTCTAAAGTATTATAATTTCAGAAAAAATGTTCAATATGTTTGAGAGATCTTAAAGCCTGTAAGAATTACAAATCAAATTTTTCAGGCCAAGGGTTGATGGAAAAAGAAAACCTAGAACAAAATAGGCACATGAAGTGAAAAATGACTTACAGAAAAGAATATTGCAGTAGAATAAAAGAAGGCTGCTGCTGGAGAACCTACAAGAATGGAAGAGCTACGTGAATGTCTTTTACACGCCAAATAAGTGGTAGAGAGGATCAAGATGATGATGGTGATGATAGATCATTAGGGCAGAAATATTATCAAAGCACATTTAGAGTGAGAAATATTTGATAGAATGTAAGAAATCAAGCACAGGTATGATGGGAGAGGTATTTATATTAGTAGTTGGAAATAAAAAAAAGAAAGACATCATTTATTCTGAATATTTTACAATATCTGTAGTGACAATGGGTCTAATAGAGATATGAGATGAGATTATTCACCCAAGCTCTTATTAGACAGAAAAATCTTCTAACAGCTGCTTACCTATTATCTTGGTGTCCTGGGGTATCAATTATTCCAGGAAGATTAGGTAGAAATGATGATAACTGTTCTTTTACTTTCTTTCCACTGAATTTACTATAGGTATGTTCGAGGCCATAATAGGCCATCAAATTCACTGCTCCAGTTAAATCACTTTCCGCTAGGGTAAAAATAACATAATCACATCACAAAAGTAGGAAAAAAGCATTACTTATCAGAAAAAAACAAAACAAAAATGCTTACAAAATAAATACATACAAATTATTCAAGCAATAATTAATTGTTTCTAACTAGAGTTAGAAAACTTCGTATGAACATTATGACATTTCAAAATACAAGTTCTACTTACCAGGAGGTTCTTTCATTAAATAGAAAGGTCCACTATGGACGATTGAGGGATTTTTTCCAAGAGAAATGGTGGCTTTTAAGGTTCCCGTGGAATCTTGCCTAGAAACAACAGGAGACCTAGCCCCTCTTGGAGATGATTTTGGGGAATACGGTTCCACTTTAGTACGAAACTGATCACCCATCATCATCTTGAATGAGCATTGTACAACACCTGGCTGAAAAATAAAACTACATATCCTCTACTAATTTTGCACCAATTGATAAATGGTGAATATATGATTCGAAGAACATAGCGATTGATAAATTGTATCAACAGACTAACTCTAACTGAAAAGCTTAAAGGCAAACTACTGGTTACAGTAAGGTTTCATCAGTTCGCAACCCAAGAACAATGTTGCCACCAGAACGCCGCAGTTTTAATAAAAAAATATTTCCACTGTTGTGTGTCAAAAAATATTTGACTGAATCATTTTTAAACTTTCCATTGACCGAGTAAAAGTGTTTGTTTTAACTAAAATATAAGTTTCAAAAAGTGAAAAGATAGTGAAAGTCATATAGTGAAACTTGTGAGTATAATGTTACTGTCAGAAGCTGAGGATTTGTAGAAGTAACAGGAGATGGGTGAGCACTCTCATTAAAGCCAATGAGAGCGACGTTCTTGTTTTGTATTTTGGAGACTGCAGAGCTGCTTTATAGTTGGATATTACTATATAAATATAGAATCTAAAATTAAGTAATAATAAGCAGCCTCTGATTTGACATCAATGTAATGCATGAGTATACAAAAAAAAAGAGGAGGAAATTATTAAATATTAGTATTAAAATTTTTAGTGAGAGTCGCACTTAAATCAAGGAAGTTGATTTTAAAGTGCTTTAATATTGTACTAAACAAGCTTTGTGAAAAACATCATAGTTTTTTATGTATTCAGAAAACATCAGTTTTCTGTCTTTCTTCCCCTCCTCCCATCAAAACCCGACGCTTTGGGACTTTTAACCAATTATTATGGGTAGGTCAATAAACAATTTCTGACAGGTTTCATCTTTATTTTTTTAATGTTGGGATCAAAACCTATTTTTATTGGACTATAAACATGAACGAGGATTAATTAATGCAGCGTTTAGGCGGTACGTCCCTAGTTTTTTACAATTAAAATATAAAGTCGTAGAAGGAAATAGTCAGTGAAAATTTTTTTATAAATTTAATGTATTAGTAGGGTGGGTAATGCATATGATAACTAATAGTTTTAAATAATATGTTGTACCATAATATGTACAACTTTTACTCTCACTTCCCTATGTATGAAAATACATATTTCCACTCAGAAGGATGGTAAGTAAAAGTTATGTGATCTGCGCACCAGATTTTTAGTTTTACATTAATTATTTACCCCGTTCCACTGGCGTTTCTAGGAGAAGCTTTCGAGCTGAAGCCACCCAAAATAGTAATGTTTTTTCATTTGTCCATATCTGTTTCTCTGAGTGATTTAAGGCTTAGATTCTAAGCTAAAATATTGAACAATTATATATATATATATATATATATATATATATATATATATATATATATATATATATTCTCTTTTAAAATTATAATGCGTATACAGCTACTAAATGGAAGTAAATGTAAAAAAATAATCTCTAAGAGTATTATTGTTTTATTGTTCCCACAATAATGGTTAGGGGTTAAAGGCCTTCAAGTACTAATGAAACATAATTTCATATAGGTTGTTTCATTATTTTTCTTTGATTGTAATTACAAAAATAAATAAATCATCATCATCTCAAGCTCTTTCTACAATCCATTACTGGATCTTGGCTGCTGCGAAAGAATTCTGGCATCAGTACGAACTCCATCTATCCATATCAGTTTCGATCATCCCACTTTTCTTTATCCACATTGTTTCATGCTGGGCAGCTTCTTTGGAGTTGAGGTATCTTTATCCCTAAAACGTGGTCGGTCGATCTCAGTTTTGATATCTAATTATCCATTCATTGTTTTCCTTTACTGGGCTATATTTATCGAAAGATCTTCCTTTTGAAATGAAAAATAAATAAAAATAAAAATGGCCTCCCTCTCTAAATTAAATCTAGGATTCGCTACTGAAATTAAAATAATAAGTTTTCTTAGCCTCTTCTCAAATCACTACACATTTCTGAAGCTCCTCTGAGATACACAACTCCCATTCCCTAATTTTTAATAAATATTCATAGCCCTTCTAATCTATCTGGAAATGTAGAGAAGAAGAGTGCCTATCAATTTACTTAAAACAATTAGCGCTTGACACAATCACGGAAAGTTACTCTAATTATCTAAAGTTTATACGGTCGCATCAAAAACAAGCAACCGAACTTCTGTAGTTGTGTATTATCCCCAAAAGAACCAGAAATTTTCATTATCAATACTGGTTGAATTCAATATTTTCAGTGCCGAACTATATACCATTCTTAACGCCATAATATGCAAAGAAAAAACATACATCAATCAAAAAATAGTTTTTCTGACAGACTCAGCAACTGCGTGTAAACACATAAAATTATATTTTACAGATTGTACAAATTATATTACAGACACACATATATTTTAAAAACATATCACAAATACACAATGCCAGCAACAATTGCTTTATCCAGTGGATAGCACTGGATCCATGAAATGGGGCACTAGCGGATCCAGGATTTAATTTTGGGGGGGGCTTAAGCCCGAAAGTTTTTTTTTCATAAAAATAACGATAATTTCTTTGGAAAAACAGAAAGAAACTAACTTCCTTCATGAAATGGTGTTTAAGTGATTCCTTAAGTCCTTTTAAATGTAATTACACGAACAATAATACTTTAAGATGTATTTTTAAAAGTTTTTTTTCCATAAAACATGGTTATATTTTACTATTTTGGGGGGGGGCTTAAGCCCGAAAGCCCCCCCGTAGATCCGCCCGTGAAATGGGCTGGCTGGCCGAGTGGATTAAACGTGTGCACAGCACGCGCTGCCTGGTAAAAAAACAACACTTTTTTCATGGTAGCGATTCTCAAATTTCATCTCGACCACTCCAGCTTAGTAAAGCTGACCAAGCTCAGGATAACTCTTGGTAGAACTAACAAATATCTACATTTAATGGGTTTAGCTAAGAGCGGTTATTGTCCAACATGCCACGGGCGAATCTAGGAGGAGAGGGGCTTTAGGGTTGAAGCTCCTCTCCTCCCCCCAAAAATGGTAACATTACTATTCCATATTCCATAACCATGTTTTATGGAAAGATATATGAATAAAATTATCTCTTAAAGTATTATTGTTCGTGTTATTACATTTTATAGAACTGCAAGAATCACTTCAATTTCATTTCATATAGATGTAGTTAATATCTTTCTTTTTTTTTTCAAAGTAATTATCGTTATATACATGAAAAAAAAGCTTTCCGACTAAAGCTCCTCCCCCCAAATTAAATCCTGGATCCGCTATGGCAACATTCCAATGCCTGGATAATTCAAGACACATTGTCTTCATGTGCAAAAGATTTAAGAAACGAAGAATTAGTTTAGGATCGTAAACTTCTATGGATGAAGGAGCTAACTTTCTTTGGTCAATGAATAATCATAAGCCCCTGATCTGGTAAAGTTTTTAAATGACCTATAAGCAGTTATGTAATAAAGTGGTCTTTTATAATCATTTGATTTTTAAGAAATTACTGTTAGATCAGTTTTAATTATTAGTATTTAAAGTTCAATACAAGTTATATTCAATAATCATCTATCCAGAAATATTCAATAAATATCCACTTTAAATTTCATCTTACAGTGACAATTAAAATATTTTATTGAAAAATACTTTGACAAGTCTTAATGCAAAAAAATAAAATAAAAATAATAATAAATAAATAAAAATACATTTTCTTGATGATAGAATTTATAAACCCATAGACAGCAAGTAATTATGTACTCTTACCAATGGTACTTGCCATTCATTTAGGAATAACTTCTTATTTGAAAATATTATATACTTACTTTTTAACACTAAAGATCTTAAATCTGTTACCACAATTAAATATGATATATATATATATATTTTGTAATTTATAATCATCCATTTGTTGTAATATAAATAAGAGAAGAAAATATTAGTTAACATACAAATTTGATCTTTTCAACAGTTCATAGTATTTTATGTGGGTTGGCTTACACTAATTCTTAATGACAGACATCCCAAACAATAATAAAATTTATATGGTAGTCATGTAAAATTCATCTTGGCATCACCACTATGGTCGGAAACTTTAGATGGTGCATATGAATCATTACAGTTCTTAACTGTCATTTAATAATTAAGTAAAGACCAGTATCCAGTGAGAGGAACAAGTAAATTTCCAGATGGTAATATTTGGACTTCATGAGCATAAGTCACATTTAAAGGAAAATTTATGAGCATTTAAAAGCTGATAGAAGAATGAATTGAGCACTGTGAAAAAAGTATAAAATCGAAGCTCCTGTGTCTAAGTCTAATTTCATACTATCTTTTCTTAATCCCGTTCAAAAAGATATACAACAAATATATGCAATGGCTTTCATGGTCATAAGGACATAGGAGTATAGAACCATAGGAAAAGAAAAATCCTAAAAATAAATCCAGTCTTGTTCCTCATGTTAGGAAGTCCTGAAAAAGTTGCTATATCAGTTTATTCTATGCATAAAAATCATACAGTAATAGAAGCCTAAGGGGCTCAAATTAAGAAAAATAGCCAAAAAGATCAATGTGTACAAATAAAGGAAATTTTAAGGAGGGCCCTTGTCACCTTATATACCGTTTTATTTATTAGTTGTCTTATTAAATAAGAAACTTTTCAGACGCACAATAGATTCGTAAGGGTCGCAGAGCTTTAAGCCCAAAAAAATATATAAAAAGCATCCTTTAAAATGTCTGAATTTTCATGTGATAACAGTAATAATTGCTTTAACTGTAAATAACAAAATTTATAATTAATTTGAACACAATACTCTCTTATATAAATTATCACTTCGGCTTCTTGAGTCCTTTTTAAATGATGTCAGGGCTTTACCATTAGTGGGGAAGCATCTTTTCAATTCATTATTAAACCCCATTCACCTCCATATCCATTTGGACACAGTTGGCTATTTTATGGATTCTATGTAGTGTGTGATTGACCCATCTGTCATATTGATGAACTAGTACCAAATATATATATATATTTTTCTAGAAAAACAATTTGATGAAGAATATGTCATCCTATACCTCTTTTTTTCTATGTAAAATCATTAACGATTACCATAACTTGGAAGTTAACTTACCAACCAATACACAATTTAGTTTACAAGCAGTAATTATGGCTTATAACTAAATTTTGTTCAATGCAACTCATTTCTTTATAATTATCTGATTATAATATAAATAAAGAAATATTGTGAATATCGAAAACTTCATTTCATACAAAAAAATTTATTGTAACAATAATTTCAGGTGTGAAAATATTTCACATAATATAAATACAAAATTTACACTTCAGAACTCTTCAAAAAAAGTCTTAGGGCTGTTTTGTAGACAGTAATTTTGATTTCGTTGTGTAGGCCATGTACCAGACTAAAGTAGCAACAACTGCAGCCATAAATTCAGAATTCAACCATGGTCCTTGGTATGTTCCTGGGTGATTAAGTTTGACAACAACAAGAGGTTCAACATTGGACTGTTCTGCATTTCTGAAAGCCTTCCTTAGATTAGCATACCCTTCTTCATCATAGAGAAGTATGTTACGTTCACCACTCCTGGCTTTATTCACTTCTTCAACCCAACTAACTTGGTAACTTTCTAGACCAGTTTGTACAACAGGGAGGCTGATACCACTTACTTCGGCGAACAAGGGAATATCATTAGCTCCGTTGCTGCATTTTAAAGTGAACTGGCTTACATAAGCAACATTGGTGACTACTGTGCCATCTTCTGTAGTAAAACTAGAAACAGAAACCGTTGGGTTAGGGCAGATATTGCTACATGATACCGTTGCGGCTACGAAAAAAAAAGCTGATAATCTTAACAAGAACATCGTAAGCACTGAAGTAAAGATTAACTAGACCAACACAACTTCCAATGAGAGACAAGGACCAAACTGACTGCCAACGAATGACAACAAAACTGTACTGCTGGCTTAATAATCGATATTCATTGAAATGGTATCAAAGAAGAGAGAATATAAGTTTGTAAAACTAAGATAAACTTTTTCATTCTGATCAAAAGATTTAATTTAATAAATTTTCAATTATTTGTTAATTATATTGGAAACATGCGGCAAAATAAAGCATATTTTTTTTTGTAATTTATTGGTAAATAAATAGCCCTAACAAATAATCAAAAGTGGCTAAGATTCATTTTACGAAGGCGAAAAAAAAAATATTAAGTTAGATATTAATTGAAAAATACTTCATATTTCAGCTATTAATCATAGTGCAAATAACTGATATATGGCTTTGAAATGTCTAATCACCCGTTATTTAAAAACTAAACTTTCCGATAAGAAAATCATTCAGGAGTAACCTGTGATATTGGTGCCATTACTAAAACAAAAATAAGCCCAGTTTTGTTGAAAAAATGCGGAAAAAAATGAATTGTTTTATTACAGTTTCTTAAACATAGAACTAAAATGTTGAGGAAGATAATTTATTTTCTTGGTCGAGTTGCTCTTTCTTTTTATGAGCAGTTTCTCAACTTAGGTGTGAACTCATCGTTTCGCCAGTTAGAGACGGATCCGGTGCACATGTACGTTCATATTAACGAAGTTACCGCCTGTATACGGGAGTCGAATCCGCGTCGTAGTGGTCGAAGTAGTCAAGTAGGGCCTGCACTTATTAATTATAATTTTAATGTCTTAATGTAATTATAACCATCTTAATGAATTATTTTTATTGATATGTTCATTTAGTATTTATTTATATGATATTTTATGTACTTTCATTCAACAATGACTGGTACTAGTAATTATAATAAAAATTAATCCGCAAATGTCCATTGTGGTAATACTTGCTAAACCTCTAAAAGTTGCAACCCCCCACTAACAAGAATGGGAGTGCCAAAATTCATTTCTTGGGCCGTTACCAGTGGCTATGTTTTGCCCAATTTAGAGACGGATCTAATACCATCGGATTGATGCATCTGCACTAAGAAAATATGAAATAAGTTGAACAACAATTGTATAAAAGTACATATGATTTTAGATACTATTAGACATCAATTAATAAACACTAATAATGCTAAAGTCTTATTTTCAAGACGATTTTTAAAGTTGATAATTAAGAAAAATATGCTTTAATAATAGTAATAACCTTTAAAGGATCATATAAGGATGTGCTTTGCACCAAAAATAAACTATAGATGAAGATATTTCTACGTAAATATTATAGTGGGTTTAGACATTTCACAAACTATGGGAGACACAATGATCTAACCTAATTAACAACGACATTATCTTTAAACCAACTATTTCTTTTATTTCAATTGATACCTATAACAGATGGAGAATATCAAAGACAAGAAACATAAATACTAGAATATGAGTGAAATAACTATTTTTTATAATTAGTAAGTAAATCCATATTTACTAGTTTAAAGTGATAAAGTCGACTCGTTATTCTTACGAACTTGATGATGATAGCTAAAACTGTTAATTATGAGTAGCAGTTGTAAAAGTTTTAAGGTGCGCTTAGACATTTCACTAGCTATCGGACAAACAATTATATAAATGGTTATTTCTCCATAATAGTATTTCTATTCTAAGCTAGTATTACCTTCTTTTTTTATATTTTCTATCTGCTTTCGCTGTCAAGAGAAATAAAATAAATAGTAAAAATGTCACTGTTAGTTTGTGAAATGTCTAAACCCACCTTAAGCTTTGACCTGTTTTGTCGTCAGTATCCTTTCATAAACGGGGAGATATCTTTTCTTGCATTTGTTTAATCTTGATTGAAACCAATGAGTACTTATTCCTCTTTGTGTTTTTGAATAAGTTTGTTGTCATGCTACGAACTGTTATAATTATCATTTAGTACTTGAGTTGTTCTCAGATTAAGAAGATTTCCTTGACTGACATTTTTTTACCGAGGCAATTAGGTATCTTTTTCATTGGTGCTAATATAATCCAATACAATAATTGTTATATAAACTATTAGTAATATTGTATTACTATTTACAGTAATGGTTTAATTTGCCATTTATACTTTTTCTTGTAAATAAATCCTATATATATTTTTCTGTAAATTACAAATCATGTATTTATATGCATAATTGGATTTTATGTCTTTGGTTCTAGGTCTTTGGTTTCAATAATTATTAATTTTTATATTTATATATATATTTTTTGTTATTTTTCATTGAAAAATCTGAATTAGTGTTTTAGTAATTGCAAAATTCAGATGAGTTTATTAAGAAGATAATTTTGTAATTGAATTGGCTATTATTAGAGCATAAGATTGATCATTATTAATATTTGGTTCATTATGTAGAAAATATTTTTTTCTCTATTATGTAGAAAATAATTGTTTTCTCAATTATATAGGAAATAATTTTTTCTCAATTATGTTGAATATATTTTTTTCTCAATTTAATTTTATTATGTTTAATAAGACTATGTTGTTTTTCAGAAATTTATTGTTTTTATTTTTATGCATTATTTCTGTAAGATAAGTTGTAAATCGTAAGAGTGACATTTCTTATAAAATAAGTCAGTTAGCTATGATTCATTTAAAATTTTATAAATATTAATAATTATTGGGCCATCACTTTGAAGATTATCTTCTCCAATGATGCAAAAAAATCTATGATTATTTTCTCTAATCAACCGTTATCATCTTTGTATGTAATAAAGACAATATATTAGTGGAGAATTTATGAATATTATTAATATCTTTTCAGACAGAAGTTATAGGCCTAGCCATTGTTATTTGTTCAATTAAAGTTTCATGTTTTTTATTTAAAGTATCCGTAATATACTATCATCAATCATTGAAACAATTAACGATTTTCTTTTTTTTTTATTATTATTATCTAATGATTATATGAACTTGTTGAATGATACGGCAATTTGCTATCTGAAGCAGAGTGGGTAATATTACATTTTTAATATCCATGTTCAACAGTACTTTAAGATACTTAAGTTATTGATTATACTTAGTCATTGTACCTAGTTGTTAATATTATGATAATGTAATTCACAGTTTTGATTTTCATTTGAATTGTAAATTAAATTCAATTGATAGCATTAGCTGTGGTCTCTCATTTGTATGGTAATGTTTAGTAGTCAATTTTTAAAAGTAATCTGAACTTAGAAATTGGCTTGTGAAACTTATATTTTCGTTGAAACATAATCAATGATAATTAAATTTTTTGAAGTTTAAAATTTCAAAGTTTGTTTTATTTAATCATTTTTTAATTTGGTCAGCATTAATATAAATGCTGCTTATTCACATAATAATAATTACAAACTATTGATTGGGCGAAAAATAAGATTTATTCTTTTTTCAAATATTATTTTCATGAATATTTGAGTCTGTTATAAAATTGAATTTCTTATTCCGATTAAATTTCAAGGGTCTATGTTTTAGTTTCTCATTCTTTATGGTCCAAACTGAGGCTGTGATATTAAAGGTATTTGGGCTAGGTTGTGAAATATTTTGGTACAAACTGGTGTAGCTTCGATTCCACCATGGTTCAATTAATGTTTATTTCTCTATAATCTTGCAAAATGAATATCAACATTCTTTACCTAGTAAGTACTGGGAGACCAGTTATATACATACTTTTATACAGCTGCTAGAGGTTAACAAAAGGGACTGAAATGCCCATATATCACATAGCTATTATTAGTATGAGTATAAATTATGTCTGTATTTATAAAAGCAATTTAATAAAATCTAAGAGCTTGTGATAAGTATAATAAGTTGGTTTCTTTTCTTTATTTTTAATCCATTCATTTTTGGAATAATGTATACTGGCATAACTAAGATAATTATGATTAAGAAGGATTATCATAATTGGTAATTGGTTGACTGTCGTGGATAATGAAGAGAAGAATAGTTGGGGTGGTCAGTCAAAAAAGAAGGCAAAAAATAAATGATAATATTTATTTTTTACATATGCTGACGTTTCGACCTGAAGTTCAGGCCTTCATCAGTGCTAAGAAAATAACCAGATAACAAGTTATGAGAAACATAAGTAGTGATGGTAAAAAAAAAATAATAAAAAATAAAAAAAAATAATTAAAAAAATAAAATAAATAAATATAAAGTAAAATGAAATTGTTAGAATAATGACTAAGAACTAAGAGATAAATAATAATAACTGTTACAGAGTGTGGAATGATAAAGTAGGCATAATAAAAAAGGGTGACATAAGTGTTACAATGGGAATTTTAGAATAAAATGTAAAAAATAAAAAAGAAATATGAAGTTATATAAGAAATGAAAATAAATAGTAAAATTAAAACATTTAGAATGGAGTAGTTAGATAGAAAATTGAGATATTGTAAAGTCTATCAAGAAGGATTATCATAATAACAATTAATATAAATGAGGAAGGAGATCCGGGGTGGCAGTTATAAATAGACTAAAATAGTGGTAAAACCATTTTATTTCAAGCCAACATTTCGACCCGATTTTGCAGGCCTTTTTTAGGGAGATGTGTTCAGCAAGCAGTTTTAGTTACCACTGTGAGTTGTAATTCATGTAAATGTTAAGATTTGTTTATTTCTCTGTTGTTTGGTGAGGAATACACTAATATACTTCCCAATTTTGACTTTTTAAAAAATTAAAATAAATTTAAAATACTTCCCTGTGATCTTTCATACATATGGAAAAGTATAGTAATCAATTTAAAAACAAAACAAAAATCTGAACTTATAGGTTGCTTTCTGAAGCTCTTATATGTTTTTTTTTTGTGTAATTAATGTTATTCAAACTTCTCTTAGTTTTTAATTTGAAAACCTTTTTGATTGAAGATTTTAGTTTAAATTTTCTATAAAATATGACTAATTATAATTATAAATTGTTGCAAATGAAATAACTACTAAAGGTATAAAGAAATATTCTCAACATCTTCACAGACTAATAAATAATACACTGTTTTGCTGTTGTCCAAGCCAGGAAATGCATATAAGAAAGAACAAAACCATCCTAGAAGAAATTAAAATTTATTGCTGGTCATGAAGTTGCATTGTTTCTCTATTTATAGTTCTTTTTGTGTAATATGAATGTTTTTCTGTATTAAAATTTTTTTATGTTAAAAGCAACATATTGTAACTTTTACTTAACAAAGTACATAATTTCTTAATTAAAACAAAAAAATTATATCCATAGGATTTTTTGGCAAGTTGAAAAATAATAATAATAATAACAAAAGTTCTCTATTCATATTAGTGTATAATAATTTATAATTCAATAAAAGCAGTTATAAAATCTAAGAGCCTAGAATCAGTATTCACAATAAATCGGTTTCTTTTGTTATTTTAATCCATTCATTTTTGGAGTAATGAATACTGGTATAACAAAGATAATTATTATTAGGAGGAGTTATCATAATAAGAACTAGTATAAATGTTTAGATTTGTTTTTTAATCTTTTTTTTTGTGAGGAATATGCTAATGTACTTCTCAATTTTAATTTTATTTTAAATTAAAGTGAGTTTATCTTATGTGCTATGATCTTTCATGTGTGTGGGAAAGTATAGTTGTCAATTTTCAAAATTAATCTATGCTTAGAGGTTGGTTTTCTGAAACTCTTATACATTTTTATTATATTGGAAAACTGGTCAATAACGTTAGTGTACCCTCCCTTTTTCTTTTATAATATTAAACTATTCATATTAAAAGGACTGTAACATGTTTTGGAATAACATTGTATCATTATTAAAAGTTGCAATGTGCCATGGCACCCCACAGATTCCTCTAAAAGTTTCATAAGTTTAAAAATTAAAAAAAATATTGATATAAATAATTATCGTCAAATTAATAAGTGTTCAAACAATATGTGCTTTAAACCAATAAAATTATTATATAAAAATTAAGATAAGTATCTTGGTTCATAAAACCAGTTAAATATGTTATTTTTTGAAGATTGAAGTTATTGTTCAGAGTAGCAAAATATTCATAATGAAAATTGACATCTTATGCTTAATATTTCTACATAAGGTATGTAGAATGAGACTTGTTAAGATATGATGAATACTTATGAGATGTTAATATATTAAATATTTTATATTATACTCTTCTAATTATATGTAAAGTTGGCATGATATATTATTCTATATTTAAATACCTTTTTAATGTATGTAATGTATGTTTTTTTTTTTTTAGACCTCCAATATGATACGATTTGATGACAAGGTCGCAGTAGTTACAGGAGCTGGAGCAGGTTAGAATTAATGAAATTCTATTCTTAAATTTATTTTTAAACCTATCAACAATAATCTTTGAAATAGTTTAATAAAATATCTTTTATTCTTTGGAATACTTCTCATTTATGTTTAGTTAAAAAAAAAAGTTAAATAAATTATAATTTCTGTTAATGTACATTTCTATTTAATATGAATTATTTAAATCTATAATTGGGAAGCTGTATTAGATGTTTTTGTCCTTTCATGATATGATACACATTATAATAATAATAATAATAATACTTTATTTATTCTGGGACGAGTCCCTTTAGAATAATACAGAAAGACATAAATGTGGGCTAAGGAGCCTCAGAGGTACATAAACAAGAATATAGTTTGATTAAATAGTAAAAAAAATAAATAAATAAATTAAAAAAAATAAGAGAAATTATAATGATGTAGAGATGGTTGACCGTTGATATGATATGAGAAGGAGTTAGTTGAGGGTGCGGTCAAATAAATAAAAAAATTAAAAAATATAAATAATTTTAATTTTTGCCGACGTTTCGACCCACTTTGCAGGTCGTCTTCAGGGCTACAAAAGATACAAACATGTTGAAAAAATAAAAATAAAATAAAAAATAAATATAAGTATATATAAATTATGAAGAAGTTGTCAGATACAGAAATAAAAGATAAAGAAAATAAATACATGATAAGAAAATAGATAAAAGAAAATAAATACATGAATGTTAACGAATAAATGAATGTTAACGAATAAATAGATTGAAAATTGAATAACTATTGTTACAGTAAAGTTAAAATATGGATAAGATAACATAATACTAAGATATCAGTGGATAACAAGCAAGTGGAGGTTACCTTTAATTGTAAATAAACAGATAAGGGGTCTAAAGGTTAAGAAGTGAAGAAATTGAAAGATTAATAGGGTAACATTAGTGTAATATTGTTGGGATGGATTATTAAGTATAAATAACTCTATAAGAAAACAATAATTTTAAAAGAATACTTTAAAATGTAAGAATAAATGTAAAAACAAGGTTATGATGATAAAGAAACAAAAAACAGGTTGTACTATATATAGATGACAATTGACATTTAGTTTTTTGAAAGAGGTAATGGAATGGTAGGCTGAATGAAGATAATAATAGGGTGTATAATTGAAGGATAGGTGTGTTAAGATATATATATATATATTATATATTAAAAAAAAATATATATATATTATTAAAAAAAAAAAAAAAAAAAAAAAAAAAAAAAAATATATATATATATATATATATATATATATATATATATATATATATATATATATTAGAAATTATAAGTATATGAGAAATTATAAGTTACTTTCTAATTTACATCAGTTAATAATAAAAAATTGAAAATAAACATGAAGTAAAAATAATAAAGAACAATCTAATAATTTATATACATATTTACAGTAGTAACTATTTACAATTTTATGAGGACTGGATGGATAAGAAATGATTAAACAGTTGGGATTTATAGGTAGGAAGGGTTTTGGATTGGCAGATGTGGGAAGAGATGGAGTTCCATAAGGAAGAGGATCGAACAATAAAAGATTTATTGAAAGCAGCAGTTCGGTGGGCCATTATATACAAATCTGAAGACTGGGAACGGGTATTGCGGGAGTGGACAGAGGATTTAAATTGAAGGAGCTCGGCGATGTATGAAGGGCGGTGGGAGTGAATTACTTGGAAGAGGAAGGATGCCAGGAAATACTTACGGCGGTAGGAAGGATGAAGCCACTTCAACTCTTCATAGAAACAGGAAACAGGGGCGTCTCTTGGGATCCCGAAGATCAATTGTACAAAGCAATTTATCAAACGTTTTAGTTTTGCCTTGAGATCCCCAGAGACGCCTCCATATACTGTGCAGCAATAGTCGAAGTGAGAAAATATTAAGGAGGTGACCAGGAGTCTACAGATTTCAAAAGGAAAAAGATGTCGCAGGCTATTTAAGTGTTTTAGGGTGGAAAGGTACGTCGGGAGATATTGGACACATGGTTTTTCCAGGAAAGGGTTTGATCAGTGGGATAAAATTTAATCGGATTATCATGTAGGAACAGGGTTGGAAAGTTAGGAACAGTTTTGAGGTGATTGGAGCCTATTAGGATTGACTTAGTGTTTTCCGTATTCAACGTCAGCTTGTTAGCTCCTGCCCAGTCATATCTTCTATTTAAATCTTCTTGAAGCTTTTTTGTGGCAGCTAATAGGTCAGAAGGGGAAAAGGACAGGTATATTTGGAAATCGTCAGCATAGATGTGGTATTGGGAGTGATGGATTAGGAGGGGAAGGTCATTAATGTAAATAGCAAACAGAGTAGGAGACAAGGAGGAACCCTGAGGGACATCACAGGAGAGGGGAAGTGTTTGCAAAGTTAAGGGTTGCATTATAATATAGATGTTTTGTAAAATATAAAAGTATATATTGTAATATCTTTTTTCTACCTAAAAAACAACAACAAAAAACTTAGGTAAATAGAAAAGATATGCCGTTTGTTTTTCTTACTGATTTTTTAATTAATTTAATTATTGTTACAGTTGGAATATAATTATAATTAATAGTTTTTTAAAATGTTTTTAAGGATTGGGAAGAGCTTATGCTTTATTACTTGCTGAGAGAGGTGCAAAAGTAGTAGTCAATGATCTTGGTGGGAGCACTCGTGGAGATGGAAGTAGTACTAATGCTGCGGACACTGTTGTTGAAGAAATAAAAAAAAAAGGTAAATATTCTATTTGAGAAATTATCATTCATTTTCACATCAACTCTGTTAATTTGTTTTGTTTAGTTGCTCCCATCACTAATTCTTATTCATAAATTTATTAAGTAATAATTATCTTAGAGAAGATAATATAACCGAGTCCAAATGAGTATTTGGACATATTCATGGGAAGTGATGTTTACCGTCTTTTATGTAATTATTAAAATATTAAGAATTATTCTTGTTCATTTATTATTACTTTATTAAACAAAGTTATGTTTTTCTATTTAGGTGGAATTGCTGCAGCTGATTATAATTCAGTCGTGGATGGTGATAAAATAATTAAGACCGCACTGGAAAACTTTGGTAAAGTGGATATAGTCATTAATAATGCAGGTATACTGCGTGACAAAACATTTTCTAGAATCAGCGATAGTGATTGGGGTAGGTATTAGTTTATTTTTCAAATTTAATTACTTACATCTTTAAGTCAATATATTTATCTCACTGGCATAATTTTTTAAACCTGGCTAGATCTTGTACACAATGTGCATGTGAGAGGAGCTTTTAAAGTTACTCAAGCAGCTTGGGAAAACTTTCGAAAGCAGAAATATGGCCGAGTTGTATTTACTGCATCTAATGCTGGCTTATTGGGCAACTTTGGTCAAGCTAATTATAGGTATTTAAAATAAATTCATTTTAATGGTGAATGTATGTTATTAAAGTTCACAGTATATACTCTAATGATATATGTATGATATCCATATTTCATCGAAGTACATTTACATAACATTAATTATTAATTAATATTTCTATTAAATCGAAAAAGTTTTAAAAATTCTGTTTAAAAAGTTTTAATTTTACAAGTTTTTAATATACTTTCTGGACAAAAAGCTAATAACTTATATCTGCATTCTAACTCTCTCGATATATATTAGTATTTAGATTTTAATATTTTTTTTTATGGTTAATCATTTTTTTAAAAATATTTTTTACTTCTTTGCAGTGCTGCTAAAATGGCACTTGTTGGCCTTTGTAATACTCTTGCAATTGAAGGAGCAAAATATAATATTCATAGTAACGTCATTGTTCCTACAGCAGCATCCAGGTTGACAGAAAATATACTTCCTCCTGGTGAGATTATATCTGTCACTTTTCTTTCATAACATTTTTTGTATAATTTATGTAATTTTCTATTATTACTATAATTTTTTTTTCTTGCTTTTAGATTTCTTTGAGCAGTTAAAGCCTGAACTTATAGCTCCTGTTGTTACATGGCTATGTCATGAAGATTGTGAGGAAAATGGTTCAATAATCGAATCTGCTGCTGGTTGGGCTAGTAAACGTAAGTTATTATATGCCGCTCATTTATATTTTTGTATTAATTCTGGAGGTTTTTCTCAATCATTCTTCAGATTACTGTTTTATGCTTGAAAAGAATATTTATTTTATGTCATTCCTTTGTAACATTTGTTTTATTACTTAGTAACTCAGTAGAATAGTATTTAATTTATTGATTTAGGAAAATTATTTGGATTTCAGTCTATTATTTACTTTATTTATGAACATGTTCGATTCCATCTGAGAAAAATTGTTAGGTTTTCAGTTTATATTTATTTTATTGATTAATGTATTCAGCAGCATCAGACAGCTAGTCCAAAATTTTGAACTTTTGAGTTGGGCAAACATTTTTTTTGTATTATTTGTGGTAACACAGTCAAAATAGCTCAAACCGAAAATTAAGCCTTTATGACGCAATTGTTGTTAATATATTTTTCATCATAATTTATCCAAATAAAAAAAAATGTCCCAACTCAAAAGTTCAAAATTTTGGCCTGGCTGTCTGATGCCACTCAATATATTAATCAATAAAATAAATATTGACCAAAATACAAACAATTTTTTTAGATCAAGTACCATTCTTTAAGGGATCTTACATAACTATGTGAATAAATGCCACGGATATCTGTTAACTATGCCATTTCATCTGCTGATTGTTTATTATTGTAATTAACAGGTTCGGATGGAAAAATAAAAATGAAAAAAAAAAGTACCATTCTATAGAGTTACTGCATATCTGCATATATATATAATATATATATACTAGTGTTCATCCAGTGGTCGAAATTCGACCATAGCTATTGAAAATTTGAGGAAAATATAATTAAATTAAAAATAAATTCAATAAATAAAGAGTAACTCACGATTCAAAAATCCTCATTTATTAATATAAACAAAATTTCATTTTCAATTAAAAATCGAGCTTAAACTATCTAAAATTATTTATAGGTAATACAAAATAGACTCAGTCAAAATATTTAATTTACATTTTAATTTATGTGTTATTATCATAATAAATTAATGTTATAATTAAGCAATTAAAAGATAAATTTAAATTAGCAATTTCAACTGAGTTTAAATCCATTTTTATGCAGAACTTCTCTGAAAAACATCTTCTTCTTTAATGTTCTGTTATTGTTTAATACATAGCCTTGATCATTACCATTGGAAATATAAATTTTAAAATTTTAATTTTAACGTGTTCTATTTGCTGCTACATATAATTGTCCATGGGAAATTACTGGATTAATTACGCAATAATACATACATTTTTCCAAAAGTTTGATCGATGGTCTTTTTTTTTATCATTTTGTTGGAAATCAATAAAGCTTTCAAATAAATATTGGTATTATCAATAAAAAAAATGTGTACTTTTTGAGTTATTCGCAAATAAAATTCTGAATTCATCATAAAAATGTATGCAGCTTGTTTTCGGGAAAGTATGTTATATACATAAATTATAAAGATTTCAAGGGGAAGACTAGCCAAGTTTCATTGAAATCGTTGAAGCTGTATTGGCGTTACAGTCTAAAGCGAATCATGTTTTTTGGCAGCCATTTCGAAAGGAAGGCCAAAAAATAATGAAACGTATACAAAAAAAACTTTTAAATATTATTGCAATGTTGTGTCAAAATTTAAAAGAAATCGGTGAAGAACTTTCGGAGATTAGCCGTTTTGAACAAACTACCATTTATATTTTTATTCATTTACTATTTCATATTTTTATTTATTGATAACACTAAAGCTTGTCAATAGCTATTAAACAAAAAAAGAAGGGAGAAAATCGGTTGAATAATAGAGGAGTAAAAGGGACTGAACTGTTTGGTGTTTGCCTATTTATATAATGATATATATATATTTAATTTGCCAAAATATATCAAAATAGGGTTTTGAAATTTTGAAAAAGTAGTGACATAAATATTTAATAATAATATCAATACATACATACTACATATATATATCTGTATGCCTTGCCTGGCTGATTCCATCTTTATTTTGTTCAGCTTTATTAAATGAAGTGATTTTGGAAGTGAAATAAAATCATTTTTTAAAGAACTGTTTATAAGAAGTAAAAGAAGCATGATTTTATCAACATTATAAATATTAGGAGACTTCCAATGCTCAAGGTACCAGGTTCGAATCCCGGCTCATGGCAGAAAAATTATTTATTCTGCTTCATCAGCCGTGGGTTAACAGGAGACCCTGCTGGGGCACACACAGCCTCTATAAAGTGGGTATTCTTAATTAAATAATTAGTTAAGGGGGAAAACCTTGTGGTTGAGGGTGATCTCAGTCAAATCACCATCTTACACAACTGTTGGCTACGAAACAATATTTTCCCTAAATAGTACTGAACCCAAGACCCTTCATGAGTTGTACTGGTACGGGTTTTTATAAATATTAGAAGATTTTTAGTTCTAAGGATGGAGAGTTGAATTTTATGTTTTATTTGAGCTTTTAGTTACAATTTTATATTAAAAATAATTGTATCATTTTAGAAATAATTGTGAGAGGAAAAGGTAGTGTTTTGAGGCGTAGTCTGGCCGATCCTGTCTCCATTGAAGATGTGAGAGAAAAATGGGATAAAGTTGTTAATGTTGAAAAAATTGATTATTTGGGTTCAATACAGGTTTGGAACAGTCTTATATTTTGTATCATATTTTTTAATTAATTACTTAGAATTGTTAACAATAATTTATCATACTCCGAACTACTTGGAGGTAAGAACCCCAATAATACATGTGAAGCCCTGCCGCAGCAACTACCTCAGCCCCAATCTCAATATTCTGTTCATCCTAACACACATAATCATCAACAACCTCAAATTCCTCATATTCCTCCTCCTTCAAATGCAACAGATCTCACTAGTTTGTTAGCATCTTTCCTAACCGATTTCAAATCCCTAGTCACTCCACTCATATCACTCCTTACAAATCTCGTATCTCACCTCATCCCTCCTTTGAAAAATCCTTAATGACCCACATACCAAAACCCATGTCCATTCTCCTTTGGAATGCGAATGGTGTTAAAAATCACGTTGACGAACTAACAGCTTTACTACAAGACAAGAACATTGACGTAGCCTTAATTACAGAAACTCGACTGACCATAAAACAGCATTTAAAAATCCCACAGTATTTAACATACCGTACTGACCACCCTGATGGCAGAGCACATGCCGGCACTGCTGTCATCGTACAGCAATCCCTCTCCCATCACTTACTCCCATTACCTACTCAAGATTTCCTACAGTCAACCGCTATTGTAATCAAAGCCTTCTCCTTTCCAGTCACCCTTGCATCAGCATATTGCCCTCCTAACAGATCCATATCCAAAGTCCAGTTCAGTTCTCTCCTCAACTCCTTAGGTCATCATTTCATCCTGGGTGCAGACTTAAATGCCAAGCATCAAGTTTGGGGTTCAAGAACCACGAATTCTCGTGGCAGAACATTTCTGTCTGCACTCAATACCCAACGTTTCAGTCTCCTTCCACCCAACTCACCTACCTACTGGCCCACAGATCCTAACCGCAATCCCGATATCCTTGATTTTTTCATCCACAGTGGCTTAGGTCCCCTCAATCATTCCCTTACCCCTCTTGGCGAACTATCCTCAGATCATAGTCCATTATTACTCCAATTATCTCTAGCTCCTATTCCTAAGTCTTCTCCACCGTCCTTCATCAGAGGCCCAGTTAACTGGAAACTCTTTCACCAAATCCTTACCGATAAAATTGACCTCAGAATGACCCTGAAAACCCCAGATGACCTTGACAATACCGTACACTTTTTTACCACCACTATCCAACAAGCAATCTGGACTGCTTCCTTTCCAAACCACTCCTCAAGAACTCCTAAGAAAAATAAGTTGCCTCAACACCTCATAGACCTAATCCATACCAAACGCCGTGCCAGATTATTATGGCAACGTACTAGACACCCCACCGATCGCCAATCCTATAATTATTTTTGCAAAAAACTAAAGATAGAATTGGCCACCTTCAGATCCCAATCCTTCAACTCCTACCTCACTTCCCTCTGTTCTCATGACAATTCCCTATGGAAGACCACCAAACATATCCTAAAACCCCATCACATATCACATCCTCTCCGTCGAGGTGATGGCTCTTGGGCAGCATCTGACGAAGATAGAGCCGAAGAATTCGCCAAAAACCTTTTCCTTACATTCACCTCTCATCCAGAATCCAATCCCACCCACACGTCAGCAGTAGAGGAATTCCTTAATTCACCCATCCCACTCTCCTTACCGCCTAAAGCAGTTAATCCTTCTGAGGTCAAATTCCTTTTACAAAAACTACCTACCCGTAAATCACCTGGATACGACCTGCTTACCTCTCAGATCCTTAGACAACTCCCTCCTAAAGCTGTCATATTCCTTACATACATATACAATAGCATCCTACGAACCACCCACTTTCCTCTTTTGTGGAAACATTCCACTATTATCCTGTTTCCGAAACCAGGCAAACCTCCCAACACCTCAACGTCCTACAGACCAATTAGCCTTCTTCCTATTCTCTCAAAAATCTTTGAAAAGATCCTCCTAAAACGCATCCTACCCTTTATAGAATCCCAATCTCTTCCTTCCCATCAGTTCGGATTTCGTTCACAACACTCTACAGTCCAACAAGGACTCCGAGTGGTTGATCATATTTCCGCAGCATTGGAAAGCAAGCAATATTGCTCGGGTGCATTTCTGGACATAGCTCAAGCTTTCGACCGGGTATGGCACGCCGGGCTTCTTTCCAAGCTGAAAAACTATCTTCCTCAGTCCTTGTACCTTGTTCTCCGTTCCTACCTCTCAGATCGTACCTTCCGAGTTCGTTGCGGTACTGAATTTTCGCATTGCTATCCAATTGAGGCAGGTGTTCCTCAAGGTAGCGTATTGGGTCCCGTCCTTTACATCCTCTTTACCGCCGATATCCCTGTCCATCCCGATACCTTCCTGGCAACTTTTGCTGATGACACCGCTATTCTATCATCCAACTCAGATCCCAACATAGCATCCTTAAATCTCCAAAACCACCTCACCTTGATTGAGCACTGGTGTAATAACTGGCGCATTAAAGTTAATGAATCTAAATGCCAACACATTACCTTTACACTCCGACGCAGTTCCTGTCCACCAGTACACTTTAATTCCATCCAGCTTCCTTACTCAGACACAGTCCGGTATCTTGGCTTTCATTTAGACCGAAGACTGACGTGGAACCCACATACTAGACTCAAAAGACAAGAACTCAACCGACGATACGGCCAGCTATACAGACTACTAAACAGAAAATCCAAACTTTCTATTGAAAACAAATTACTTATCTACAAGACAATACTGAAACCTATATGGACATACGGACTTGAACTGTGGGGTACAGCAAAAGCTTCTAACATCAAACGTATTCAATCCTTTCAATCTAAAGTCCTTCGAACAACAGTTGATGCTCCGTTCTATGTAAATAACAAAATCCTACACCATGACCTTAATATCCCATTTGTCCTAGACCTTATTCCAGAAAAATTCTCCAAATTTCACCAGAACCTTACCTATCATCCAAATCCCCTTGCACAATCTCTATCCAGCACCACCCATCCTTACAATCCTCCTCGAAGGTTGAAGCGGCAGTGGCCTAGAGACCTTTTGTAAATAAGCATCTATTGGAGTTTTGGCAATGGCCAGATCCTCCACTCAAGCCCGAGTGTGTATGATTAGGTTAGTTCTTTTGTTTATATACATTTATTTTATTTTATTGTACTTATTTTTATTTTATTTATTGTATTTATTATTATTAAGTTTCTGTATTATTTTATTTTTTTTTTTATTGTAAATAGAGTGTGAGTGTGCTTTCTCTGAACACTATTATAAATGTCCTTGATGTGACAGAATGTAATATTTCTAAATAAACAAATTTCTATTCATAAAATTACTTTTATTGATTCATGCTAAAAATGGTTTTGTCACCTTTAACCAAAATTGTTTTTCTGGTTGATACATGAATTTTGAAGTAATGCTCTTTGTTTTTGTATGAACTTCTTGCTTTGAAACCATGTTTCTTTACTACATTGAAAACAATTTTCAATTTTGGAAAAATAAAAACAAATGTTCAAATAAATTAATTAATATTTTTGTTCAATTTACTTGAATATCAGTCAACATCAAAATACCTATTTTAGCATGAAAAACATTTTATATGCATGTCATTCGCAAAATTGATTTTTATTAAATTATGTTCAAATTAGAATTGTTTTATTAACAACTAACTGATGGACTGAATTATTTTACACATTGATTCAGATAATCATTAATGAAAATATTTTAGTATATATATTTACTTAAAAATATTTATTGTTTCTGGTGTTATATTATAGGAAGAGACTGCAAATTTGACAAAATATTTTTCTGAGATGGACGGTTCATTGGATGAAGCAGATGAAGAAAATGTTAGTTGGATAACTCAAAAGAATTATTTATTAACTTCTGGTGATATTTTGGATATATTGTTTTTAATTAATTAAATATTTATTTTTTTAAAGGATTTCTCAGATAAGTACTCTGCAACATTCAAAGAATGCATCACATTTGCTTTAGGAAGTAAGACTTTTTTATTTTCTTTAGTATTAAATTTAATTTTGATACTTATTAGTTAAAAAGGGAAGGGATATTTATTGTTTTGATAATATTTAACTTTTGCATTTTCCAGTTATTAATTTCCAAAATTTTGATTGTTTTTTTGTGTTCTCAATGGTTTGTAAAATCAAGATCGGTCGTGAGAGCCGAGTGTGTTAGAGTGTTGTTTGTTTTAGTAATCTTGTGTCTAGCAATACCAGTTTGAGAATCGAGTTTGGACGATTCGTATGCCAGAATGAGGAGGTAGGGGGTAATCCAATAAAAAAAAAAGTTTGTGAAATTAAGTTATTTAGTGTCATGGGTGCTGAGGGGAGAGAGTTAAAGAACATTCTCTGGAGCAGTATAATTGTAACATGTCAAATGTATTTTGGTGTGTTTATCGATTTTTTATTGTAATAAACAGTAATGTTATTTGTTCGGTAATTGGTTTTTATTTCCTATTTATTTTTAATCTGTAGCTCGTGGTCTGTAGAATTAGTATCATTCGCCTTATACTATTTTGGAGACAGGAAAAAATAAAATTATTTAGTTAAATTATATACCTACATATTGATAGGTATATAATTAATCTGAGCAGGATAACTCAGTGAGTAAGGCACTGTTCCTATGCTCTGGGTTCAAGTCTGACTGACTAGTGTCCAGGGAGCAAAATATTTTTGAGGAGAAGCAATCATCGGGTCTGGTCGGCTTTTACCGTCAACCCTCAGCCTCCCCTCCCCTTCTCACTCCCCTTCCTTTGAACACATCCTTTTCTTTCTTTCTTTTTTTTTCATCAATTGTTTTTTATTTTCAACTATTATTTAATTTTTTTCTCGATTGTTTATTTTTTTTTTATCAATTGATTTGATTTTCAAATATTACCCTAACTTTTTTGTTATTACCATGGAAGACTCAATATTTTACTGCCAAAGATGCAATAAATCATTGGTTAAAAAAAAGTAATTGGGTGAGACATTCATTTATTCACGACAAACAAAAGAGCTATTGTTGTGGGGTGTGCTTCCGAGAATTCAACAGTCAGTACAGTCTTGAAAGACACATAATTATTCATGCTAAACAATTATAGTACGTCTGTAATGCATGTAATAAAATTTTTGGGCGTAAGGACAGTTTAAAAAGACATAAAAATTGTTCACTGTATTAATGATTAAATATTTAAGTGCCATGAATGTTTTAATTTTTAAAACCGAAATGTCACTGAATACTCATGAAAAATTTCATTCTGAAAATCAATTGACATCTAAACAAAAATTTAAAAAATGTCCAATCTGTGATTTTAGGGGGTCTAAAAAAGAGATGTTAATTCACTTTAAATACAACATAAATACACTTGTCTGACTGTGGCAGGTAATTATTTATTCTGTTGCATTAGCCATCAATCGATTCTTGAATAACCCAAATGGATCACTCTCAGCTTTGGTAAAGAATTAATTAGGGAGGAAAACCTTGTGGTTGAGTGTGATCTCAGACCAATCACCTCCTCGCATAACTGCTGAAGAAACAGCCTCGAAACAATACTTCTTTGACATAGTACTGGACCCAAGATCTAACCTCTGAGCAATCATTTTTGTGAATGCTATTTTGACAAGCTGGTGTGATTACTGTAAAAATATCAGATATTATTAATATATTCCTTGAAAAATCGCAATTTATACTCTTAAAAACCAATTTCTCGCTTTTTTTTTTCTTCAATATAACTAAATATTAGTAACAGTTATGTTGTTGCTGAATTGCTTCTGTATTTTACTTCTTTATTAATAATAATACACTATTAGGTGTCTAGGTCTAAAAAGTAGGTTTAGCATGTTTTACCTCTTAAAATAATTATTCTTCAATGTATCTCATAAAAATATATTTTTTTCTGTTAGTTGGAGCCAGTGTTAAGAATCCTGGAGATTTAAAATATCTCTATGAAGGTCATGAAAATTTCACAGCATTACCAACGCAGTTGATCATGCCTGCTCTGATGGCAACAATGACTTCATCAAAAATTTTAAATGCAATACCTAATAAAAGTTATGATCTGTCTCAGGTAAGCATAAATAACTGTATTTTTCATGATTTTGCCATTGCATGAAATTTATTATTATTATTATTATTTTAATTCTCCTCAACAACCATGTATTGTAACCATATAATTCTCCTATTTTGTTACACTACTTTAACCCTGAACCATAACTACCCTGCTTTTTGATGATTGTCTTTTGCTGATAGTTTCTCATTTTCCTAAATCAAGACCTGTATTTCAGTTTAGAATTACTTGCAGATTGCATTGTTTTGGATTTCGGTGCTCTTATTTAATTTATTTTACCTCATAAATTGTCTATTTTCCTCTGCTTTTGTTCACTGCTGGCACTGGTGGGGGGAACTGGTCCAGCAAGTGAGCCCTATTGTGGTCCTTTAAAGGGAACCCTACACGGTAATTCATGAATGAACGTCACAAGAAGTTCCAAGATTGCCCGCTATCGCTTTGATAATGAAGACCCTTACATGTTCAATCATTACTGATCGTTGCTGATACCAATTTAGCGCAGTTGTAAACAAAGAAACTGCATAGATATGCTTATTTGGACATTGTCATTTATAATATTGGGCATCAAGAGAAAAACGGAGTTATAATAATTACTTCCTAGTGCCTGAAAATTGTTTAGACCAAAGTTAGAAAAATATAAGTCAACTACATACAAAAATCTAGGAAAAGTATTGCAAAAATAATCAATTTGTTAAGAAAAATGGAAAAATTAATGGCAAATAAACACAACAGTTAAAGATTTTTTTTCTATAAGTAAATTGTGAAGTTTCCACTTTTTTTTCTCTCCAATTTATTGCCTACTTGACTATTTAAAGAAAAAATAGTTGAAAATTGTTAATAATAATATAGACTAGAGATATAAACAACTATTTACTTTTATGAAATTATTTACTTAATAACGAGACCTAGGTAAACTAACCTATCTAGTAGTAAGGTTAGTCTCATAGAAAATCGTTTTGACAAAAGTTAGTAAAATATAAGTCTACTACTTACAAAAATTAAGGAAAGGTATTGCGAAAATAATAAATTTGTTCAGGAAAATGGGAAAAGAACTGATAAATATACACAACGATAAAGTTTTTTTTTTTTCCTAAAGTAAATTGTGAAGTTTCCTCATTTTTTTTTTTTTTTTTTTAATTTAGTATGTATAATTATTACATAAATATTGTATTAGTGAAAGTTTTAGAACTATTTTTGTTTTTATATATTTTTAGATTCTACATGGTGAACAATACCTTGAAGTATATAAGCCATTGCCTTTAAATGAAGAGCTTAGGAGTACAATTGATATTATAGAAGTATTAGATAAAGGAAAAAATGCTGTAATTATTTCTGGTTGTAAGTGGATAGTTTATTTGTTTTACCTTCGTAATATATTTGATTTCATTCAAATATTATTTCATAATAGACAAGATATGATATTATATAATAGACAATATAATATATTATATCGTCAGTTTATTGCAAAAAAATCATTAAGTAAATTTTTGATGGATTTATACTTTAAAGTACGTTTTTGTGAATTTCGACCTTTTATGTTTCTGGCTATCCACTTTTCTAAGATGGGTAGGGGGTTACAGAAACATTAATGTGTATTTAATATTTATATTGATATGTATATCGGTTCCAGAGGAACCAATCTCTTTAAAATCATATGATGTATTTAAGAGTTAGATACCACAGAACCCCCCACTGTGAGATATCAAATTGATTTATAAGTTGAATCAGATATGCTTTTCAAGGGTATAGTGGTAGTAACTTACTATTTGTAGCTATATATATATCTTAATGGTGACGTGCAAGAAAGTTCACATATCAAGTTGTAATCAAGAAAGGATCTATTTTAAACATCATAAGTACATTTTTAATATTGCATGGGGGAGGCTGATCTGAACATGACTATTGACTCTATTATTTTATTGGTTGCCGACACAGATTAAAAAGGTAGGAGCTAAATGAATATTATGTTTGAGGGAATATGGTGGAGTCTTCAGCTACTTCCTCCTGGTCGTTGATGCTGCCATTTTCTCGAAGTCTCTTCTATACTGCCTTCTCCACTTGACAACTGTTTCCCAGGAAGTCTCTCTGCTTACCTCGTCTTCAAGGAATCTCCTTTGAATGTCTTCTCAAAATCCTTCTAACTGGCTGTTCTTCTCCTGTTTCTAACTGACTGTTCCTTTTCTCTCCACCAATATTTTTCTTCATTTTTTCTCTCCCACTTCTTCAAACTTTTCTATTGGTTGATTCTATTTGTAGTAGGGAGGAACTACCCCTTTCGCTTTTCGGTATACCTTTTTCTGTTACAATTTCGGTAGGTGTCGGCTTTCTTTTGAACTTTCAAATATTTTATCAAAGGCAAGATTTTATCTTTGTTATAGTCTTAGCAGATATTTTTGTCCCTGATTTGTGGCGACCCACCGACCACAGCACCCCGGTTGCTCTGCCCACACTACGGCCTTGCTAATACCCTGCCTTCCTGTCCCCAGTCCACTTGTATCGGCCACTAATAAAATTTGTCTATCATTGGCTAATTTTACTTATTTTTAATCCCTGAAGTATCTTTTAATTTACATATCAGTATTCACGATACATAGCAGACCTTATTCATCAATACAATACTATACTAAGTGCATTAAAATGACTATTTTGTATCAAATTTAAAAGGTTACATTTATATGCAGAAGGTTCTGATTTCTCAGAGGAAATATTCATCAAAGTACTCAGTCTTTTAAATTTATAAAATGTTACTTAATGGCTATTTGCAATTAACTGACAATATATTATGTTATTGTAAAGATATTTTACAAGATGTATGTCATAGTTTATTTATTTTTTTAACTGATATTGCCTATCACTGTTTTTTGAAGTCTTGAATGGGCTTGTGTCCAAAAAAGTTAAGAACCCCTGCCTTTGAGCAATTAAATAATCTGTCAAAGAGGAGTTTGCATAGAATTAAGGAAGATGGTGTTCTGGAAGATTCCTTTATCTAAAAATCAACAAATCTATATATTTGTCATGTTAAAGACAATTATTATTTATTTTAAAAAATACTTTCAAACTGTAGCTACTATAATATGTTTATAAAACAACAATGATCACTATTTATATAAACAGAAGTGGGCTACTTTAGGATTATATATACATTTGTATCAGCATCATTTGTACCTTTTCATGCCTAACTAGCCTTTACTATTGAAATAAATGAGTAGTTATTATTATCTCAACTTATCATTAATCGTTTCGATGTTGTTGCAGCAAAAACATATGATAAGAATGATGAGCTGGTTAGCTACAATGAAATAGCTTCAATTGTTGTGAATGGTGGTGGTTTTGGTGGTCCTAAAAACGCAACAAAAACTAAATTGACTGAAGAACACCCTAAGCGAAGTCCTGATGCGACTATGGTAGAGGGTACTAGTGCTTCCCAGGTAATGTTTAATAAATTAAATTTTTATCGCTTTAAAATTTTCTTATTAGAATGGTTATGTTTCATTGCCATTATTTTTTTCAAATTAAAATATGTAATTGATTTTATAAACATGTTTGATAAATACGCCATATTAAAGCTTGTTTACTTACAACTATTACCTTTTTTATTTATGCTCAGTTAGTTATTTCTTTAATTGTGAATGTACTAGTTAAACATCTGTACCTATTACAACTAAACGTTCAATATATTTTTATATTTTATTATGAATTTAATAACTACGATGATGGTGATTTAGGCTAGAACTTTAAATAGTCTTAAAGAGAAGGCGTATTATTAAAAAAAAAATTGAGATTCAATATTAAAGTGGTTAATGGCCAAGTGAGGGCTGTTTATGGTGTTATTATGGTGGCGAGGCCTTACCGTTCAAAATGTGTGTGTGTGTGTGTGTTCATTTTCTTATTAATGTATTTTTTATTTATTTACTACCAGGGTATTTTTTTATTTATTTTATGTTAGGAGATTATACTGTAATGAAAACAGCAGGGTGTAAATCTCTATTTTGTATTAGGATAGTAGGAGGTTACAAGAGCTCAACAAATATGTAATTAAATGAACAACTGTATAATTATAGAGCTAATAGGACAGATCCTGTAATCTTATGATCTCCTATTACTAAAATAAAATAAAATATGTAAGTCACTAGAAACTTTTTTATATGATAGAGAGATTTATTGTTTATCCCCAGTCAAATTATTTTTGATATTGATATCATATATATATATATATGTCTCAATATTTAAGGATTAACATTTTGTTGAATTTGAATGTATTTTACGGATCGAATTCTATTGACCTAGATGTTTTCCTAATCAAACAATACAAATAACTAAGCAAACCCTCAAAATTTACTGCAAATTTTCAATTCTGCAATTAGGTTTACTCTATGAAAGACTACTCCACCATGCCCAGAGAGAAGTAGATGTGCATCAATAAAAGTTTATGAATAATATATCAAATGTCTGTAAAACACCAGTATATTATTACCATTGATAATAAATATTTGAAAAAACTTTTATAAATATAGAGTGTAGTTTTATAATAAACTTATTATAATACATTCCAAGTCACAGGAAAAAAATAGAGATTTACACCCTGGTGTTTTTGTTACAGTATTGAACTCCTGTAATCTCCTTATCTCCTAATACAAAATAAAGATTTTAGATCAAAAATGTCTACGGAAAATGGTATTCATCTGGAGGTGGTAGTTTGATTTTATATAGATGACCGCAGTTATTTTTCGATGTATACATTTTACCCTTTAATAACAAATATTAATTATTATATTGTATATAATATTATTTAAATTATATCATAATATAATTATTATGAAATAGAAAAGGATGCACAATATAATAATGTACAATAAAAATATTAGAAATAAAAGGCTCAAATTGATCTTGGGCTTATATGAAGCTGGACAAGTTGAATATATATTATGGCTACAAATTAGCAATAAGGTGTGATGTATAATATAGATTTTTAAAGAAATTAAAATTTTTTTATAGATTAAAAAAAAACTATGGTTTTATTTTATTTTGATGAAAAATAATATAATCTGAACTAAAGAATACATGTAAATTAAAGTTATACGATTTGAGCAACGAGTAGTACAATAAGTCTTTGTAATAATTTATTGTTATTATTTTTGCTGAAAACCAACGTAATCCGAGTAACAGAAAGTCAAGTCAAATAATTTTTATACACAACTATAGATAAGGTTCAATTTATCCCTAAAAAACCTCAGCTTATTTGATATGGACTTAAAGTTTATTTAACAAGGAAGATTTTACTGATGTTGAATATTGCCCAGTTGTAGGGTGATAAAAAAAAAAAAAAAATCGTTAATAATTTATATTTTTAAGAAAAACAATTTAGTGTAGTTTAACCACTTAAAAAGTTCCTTTTGAATGATTTTAACAAACACAAACTCTACTTTCATTTAAATGAATTTTTGTCTAGTTTATAAATCAACTTTTAATTAACTTAATTAATTTTTTTTTTGTTATTGCTTTCTATTCAACTAAAATCATTAGTTACTTAAGAAAACACAAAACATCAATTTCCTGTTTTTTTTTTTTTGATAATCGAACCATGGTTTACATAAACTCTTTCATGGCTCTTTAGGTCTACTATCACTTCTTTAAACATTTCCTTTTAGTTACCGAACATCCCGTGTGCTATCACTGTCAAAATGTTTTCTGCCTTAACAGTTAGGCTTCTATATTTCTCATAATATTTTTACATTAACTAAGTATAGTTTATCCTGTAATTTCAGGCAGCTTTGTATCGATTATCGGGAGACTTGAACCCCTTACATATTGATCCTAATTTTGCTTTACTTGGGGGTTTTAAGGAACCTATTTTGCATGGGCTAGCTTCATTAGGATTTGCAGTTCGTCATGTTTTATTGAGATATGCAGACAATGATCCTTCATTGTTCAAAGCTGTGAAGGTTAGTTATTTTTTTATTTATTTATTCAAATTTACAATAAATACAGTTTATTGAATTATTTTTATAGTTAGTATGATATATTTTTATTTCTCGTAGGTCCGTTTTGTAAAACCTGTTTTGCCTGGTGACTCTTTAAAGACCAGTATGTGGCGCCAAGGAAATAGAATTTATTTTCAGACTGAAGCCGTTAAAGCCAAAAATATTGTCATTTCAGGTATTTAATTAGATTTATTAACTGCCAAAAAAAATATTTATCTGGAAAAAACAGAATATCTATATAATTTTTTTTGCTTTTCTTCTGGGTAAAACATTGAATATCCCTATTCACTACTTTTTTGGTTTCCTTTTCAAAATGTTTCTATGTATTGCTTAGAGAAAGTTGTCTACACCCTTTTGTCAAATGTAATTTTAGAAAACAGGGCTAATTCCCTCTCCTATGTGTTTTTTTATGTTACAATCAGTTTTTTTAGATCTATATTAGATAAAATAGATTGTGAAGTAGCTCTATTTACTATAACAGAACAATTAAATACAATAATGAAGCAGCTGATTTTATGTTTGCCATGACATTAGTATTTAACCAAGTATCTAAATGATATAATTTCTTTAGTGATATTAATTGTCATTATTTCAACCTTCGCTGACTCACTGAAAAAGAAATGAAATTCACTCACTATTCCTTTTGTGGTATCAGATTCCAGTGATTTTCATCTCTTGGAAACTGGCTATGCCTGGTCCATGTGGAAACAAGCTCCTGATTTATAATGTAAGAGCATTGATTACTTACTTACTATGTAGCTCTACAGCCCAGGGTGGGCCTTGGCTTCCTGAATCATAGCATGCCAATCATCCCTATTGCTCGCTCTTTCCTTCCAATTTCTCACACCCAGTGTTCTAAGGTCACTCTCATCATCTTGTAGACATCTTTTCCTTGGTCTTTCCTTTCTTTTTGTGCCATACATTGTAGAGAACAATGCCGTATAAGGCATCCTGCTGTGGTCCATTCTAACCACATGGCCTAACCATTCCATATGCCTAATTCTAACAAAATTAACTATGTTGGCACTATTATATAATTCATATAGTTCCTCATTTTTTCTATACCTCCACACACCCTCTTCACAAACAGCTGCATAAATTCTTCTCAATATTTTTCTTTCAAAAATATTCAGCATACTAATTGTGCTAGTACAAAGGGTCCATGTCTCCACTGCATAAGTCACAATAGGTCTTACTAAAGTCTTATCTTAGTTTCTCGTGACAGAAGTGATGATCGAAAAAGTTTTAGGTTGGCATAATACACCCGGTTTCCAGCCATGATCCTCTTGTACACCTCAGCAGCAATTTTATTTTCATAATTCACTTCCACCCCCAGGTATGGGAATTTTTTGACACACTCGAAGGTGAAACCACATATTTCAATGCTTTGAGGACCAGCCTCATTTCCAGCCCAACATTTTCACCTATGGCTTTCAATATTGCAAATATTTCTTTTATTAATCTCTAATTCCTGGTAATTAGGCATATATCGTCTTCGTAAGCACATATTTGCACCATTGCGTTAAGTATGCAACCAGGTGAATCCAGTTTTTTCAACACATTATTAAGTGCAATATTAAATAATGTGGCAGACAAGGCATCCCCTTGCCTAACTCCATCCGTCATTGGAAAGCTATTGCTTACATTGCCTTTACTAACTACTTTTGCATTGATATTATTCATTGTCATATGCAATAAGCATATTAATTTTTTTGGAATTTGGGACTCATGTAAGGCATTTATTAATTTGCTTCTTATCACTCTATCGGAAAATTGCCAGTAATCTATGAACAGTAATCTATGCAGGTCAATCTTATATTCCCAGGCTTTTTGCATTATCTGTCTCTTCACACAGACCTGATCAGTTGTTCCTCTCCCCTTCCTAAATCCACACTGGTTTTTCTCCTGTATGTTCTCAGCAAATACGTTGAGCCTCACAGAGAGGATGTTTGAAAAAATTTTATAGGCTATAGCCAATAGAGAAATGCCCCTGTAATTCTCTCATTGGAGTTTATCTCCTTTTTTATATATCGGGCATATCAGACTGGTGCACCTGAGACATGATTTCACCACTCCAAACTTCCTCCAACAGTAAATGCATTTCGCTTATCAATTCTTCTCCTCTGTACTTAAAGAATTCCGCGACCAGCATATCCTCCCCAGGTACTTTGTTATTTTTTAATTTTTTCAATCGCCTCAGCCACCTCTTCTATAGGTTGATGGCTCCAGGTCATTAACATATCAAGAGCATTGATCAAAAAGTGTAAGATATTGTCTAACAAAAGAAATGAATTTTTTACCACTGATACGTTCCTGTTGTGAAATGAAGAAGACCATTTGCTGTTCGGTTTTAAGGTCATACTTATGACAAATTACAATTAACAAAAAATAAACAAATAGGAAAGAAAAACTAGTTGAACACCTAATAGGAGAAGAGCAAGCTGGGTTCAGATCCAGGCGCCAAACCCATGACCACATTTTCTCATTAAGAAATATCTTACAGAAATCCTGGGACCTGGATAAAAATATGTACCTGGCTTTCCTTGACCTCAAATCTGCCTTTGACTCAGTTCCACGGGATGAAATATGGGAAGCTCTCAGAGCGAAGAACGTTCCGAGAAATCTGACAGAGGCGATAAAATCTATATATCAAGAGCCCAAAGGAATAGTTAGGCTGAATGGGTTAGAATCAAATCATTTCAATATTGCAAAGGGGGTCAAACAAGGAGACAGCCTAAGCCCTTTGTTGTTCATGGATGAAGTGGCATCCATTTGTAAGAGAAGAACAGACAGGACATTCCTGGGACATAGGAATCTTAATCCTGTAGTGATACAGCTTCTCTTCTAAACCGACGATGGTATTGATTATGGACTGGGAGAGAGAAGTTGGCAAATATGTCAAGCTACATATCTTCAAGACAATATATCTACCCATACTTTTGTATGGAGTGGAGAGTCGGATATTAACAGACCAACAGGAGAGCAGAATCACTGCTGCCGAAATGAAATTTCTGCATAGGACGGTTGGAAAAACAAGGAGAGACTGAGTTCGCTATGAAAGTATTTGTCGGGAACTGCAGATAGCCCCACTGAACGAGTTCCTAAGAACTCGTCAGCTAAAGTGGTTCGGCCATGTTATCAGGATGGACGACCACAGAGAATCCTCTAACGACTAATCCTCTAACATCCTCTAAAGACCATGGTATATGTCCAAGATAGCAGAAGACCTAGGGGCCGCTCTAGGATGTCCTATCTCGACTACATTGAGTGGTTGTAGGGCGAGGGAGAAGAACCTCCGAATGGCGAGAAACCTAGCTAGAAATAGGGAAGAATGGAATTCCTTGGAATTCCTGCCTGAATGCTCCTCTAGGCTATGCGGCACTAAAGAGAGAAGCTAAAGAAGAAGAAGGAGGGAAGAAAAAAATAAATGATAACATGAAACTGGGTCAATTTTTTTTTTTTTTTACAATATTATTTATTTATTTATTTTAACATTTTATGAAATTTGCCCCTGCACTGCAGCGCATCTAGCAAATCCGATGTATTAGCCATTAGCTGCAAATTTTCTTGATTATTTACAATATAAATTAAAATTGTTTGCTATATTAAAAAGATATATGTTTATCCTGGAAAATATCTTTAGGTTAAACTCTAATAAAAGTAACTAGTAATGATAATATTATTAATATATTCTTAAAATATTAGTGAACTTCAACATTCATTGAATTGAATTCGAGATTGGTTTCATATGACATTCATTGTTAAATTAATATTACTAAGTACTGAATGGTTTATTGCCAAGGTTATTGTGGTTTGATGATGGGGATAGGATTCTGAAACTTCAAGATATTTATATGAAATGTGATCTTATTTAATTACTTAACTCAGACAACTTATCAGATTGATACATTGCTTAATGAAGTGCACTATAACTTCTTTTTTCCAAGTTAAATTTAAGTTGTTGTGATCAATATATTTTTGTTTGCAGGTGCCTATGTTGACTTACACAATGTAATTGATAAGAAATTATCTCCTCCTCCTTCTGGAGGGCACACGCTTTTTAACAGTCCTGGATTTGTTGATGCTATTCAAGAAAAATTGTATTTAACACAAAATTTAAGGGACATTAGTTATAATTGCCTCTTAGAAGTCGATGATTGTGGCAGAAAAAATTCGTGGAGTAAGTGATAGCCTTTTTAATTAATTGCATAACAGTAATAGTAAAATATACTGAGAATTAAAAATTTTTCTTGAAAATCATTTGTAATGTTGTTCTTGCCTAATGATTTCAATGATTCATGTTGCAGTTATTCATAATGGTCATATTAGTAAGATCTTTCCTTCTGATTGTAAAGATTATGATGTTGTTTTGAAGATCAATGACAGCGATTTAACAAGCATGGTAAGTGAAGATTTTATAGATGTTCAGTTTTTCTTAGATTAATTTTATATTATTTTTTAAACGGCTATGGAACTTTTAAATCATAATTTGAAATATTTTACTTTACCATTTCTCCCTTAGTTTTATTGTTTTTTCAGCCTTTATTTGATATTTTTTTCTAATACAATTATTTCACAAAGAGTAAATGTCTATTAAAATTATTCTAAATTTCCAGTTGAGTGGTAAACTCAGCTATAGGGATGCTGAAAGATGTGGGGCAGTTAATGTTGAAGGAGATGAACACTTGGCAGCAATGATATTACAGTTGGTAACTCCCAAAACTAAGTTATAGGTTTTAGAAGACTTAATAACTATATGAAAAATGTGATCCAATTTTGTATATTAATGAGCCCTCCATTGCTGTATTTACACTGGAAATCAGCTTGGGATTAATATCTGTAATAATAGATAATTAGTGTTGATAAGGTCAGTAATATTGTTCCAGGAACTTTTAAAAATCTGAGATTAGAGACTGGTATTCTACATGTTAGTTAACTTATTCTCCTGAAACATGTTGGTTAACTTATTCTTGATCTTTACTGGAGGTTTTAACTGAATCAGTTTGTTTTTCTAAATTTTTCTAAGATTAAAAAAAAAAGGAAAGAAAAAAGTGATGTTTGAATAATGAAGGAAGGTAAAATTGGTTTATGATTAACTTGTTTATAGATGGAGCTAAACTCAAAAACTTTTTTTGACTCAGTACATTAATTAATAAATAATTAATAATTAATAAATTTACTCTCAACATACTCTCATTTGGTAATTTTTTGATTTATTAAAATTAATCTATTTCTTCAAATAGGTACTAGTGTTATAGAAATTGTATCACTTTTTATATGATATTTTCATAATGTTTCTCTTGACATCCTTCAAGTTTTTTTTCTATTTTAGCTTAAAGGTTTATGGCAATGTACTGCTGTTTTCATTTAAACTAGAATATTTCTCCACTTATGTCTTATTACGAGTTACTCTTGGTTGAGGGGTATTGGGTTCAATTATCGAATAGATTGTAACTGATGAGTGTGTTAGATTATTATGTTTTTGCTTTATACAGGTTATGTTATGTAAGCAGTTATCTATATTAATTAAAACTATGTTAGCTGACATAATGAAAAAATAAATGGTTTTCTTTCAAAAAGAAATGTTTGATGACAATATTTTAGAGCAGAGTTATATATTATATTTTTATATCGTTTATGTATATTATATTGTTTTGTGAAAAATAAATATATACTTATTAATGTTGTTAAAAGAAACGTACTTTGTTAAACGATTTTTTAGAATTTTATCTTGTTGTTTATGTTTTATATATTTTGTTAATAATGGACATTTTAGAATAAACATTCCATTTCCTATGACTATCTGATTTGTTTCTTAAGGTTTAGTCATATAACCATTTAATTTTATATGGTAAGGTGCAGTCAATTTTCAGCCCTATTTAATAAAATATAACTCTAGAACTGATTAGTCTCAGTCACCAAATTTGTGTCATTGGTTTCTAGTATAAAGAGGTATGCAATGCATAAGTTTCACAAATTGTCACTCATTCCCTTTTATGATATTCAAATTCAAAACTCGCTGAAAATAATTCATGACCGTTTTTGAAAATTAAAAATTAAAAAAGGACAAGGTTTTCATGATTGAAATATTTTGAGCAAATAGTATATGATGGAACTATATAAGAAAATAAGAAATGTGAGACTCTTTTCATCACTACACTTTTTAATGCCCCAAATGTCTCGTTCTAAAGTAATTTTCATTTTATAGTTGTGAATTTTTTTTAACCTTTTTCTTCATTACTTATGGGATTTATTGTGAGAAGAAAAAATATAGAGCAAAACATCATCATAATTTTAGTTTTTGTTTTGTTTTGACTGTTGCAAAAATATCCTGATTAGGAAGGATATACTGAGGACGATCCTCACCAGACATCAAATTTGTTTACTTAGAATTAATAGAAACAGTTGAGTCTCAGTTACGAAATATCTTACATATATTTCTATCATAATGAGATGTATGTAAACAGTAACAGTTTCACAATTTTTCATTGTATCCCTTTGATGATTTTTAAATTGAAAATTTGTATTTAATAAGAACTAGATTTTTATGAATGAAATTTTTCCAGCATGTAGTTGTACACTGATAGAGATATACAACAAAACAAAATCTAAGGTTAGTCTTTTTTCATTATTCAACTTTTAAATCCTACAAGTTCAATAATTTGATAATCTTCATGATTTCTTCAAAATACTTTCTTTCCTCCTGCGACCAATGTATGTTATGAGTGATTTCAATTGTATTGACCCATACATCTTTGAGACTCAAAAATCATCATCATTATTTTAGATTTTGTTTTGGTTTGATATCTACAAAATTGCCAGAGTTAGAGACATTTACACTAGTCATGTTTCATTGATAAAAAAAAAATTCAATATGCCACAAGAAAAAAATTGTGAGTTTTAAAATATTTAAACTAAAGGTTTGAACCCACCATTAAATAGCAAATAAATGATATATTTTTATCAAGGGTGATAAATAGTCATGACGCAGTAATTTTAAGATTTATATTGTTGCTAAAGTTTGAACCCTAACATGTAGGTCACACATGCTTGGGTGGAAACATGGAAAACAATAAAAAAACCTAAAATGATTGTGTCCTAACCAAGGTCAATAAAACTACCGCTCAGAAGGTTCGCTCACTCAGAAATGCATGGTGGGAGGGCTTGAAACATGACATAAGGAATAGACCGCTAGACTTACCTATTACTCTTTCAAGCCTATCAATGAAGGTTTATTTCAACATTATTGTGCTTTTTTTTTGTTTTCCTGTTTAATTTATTAAAAAGAATAAGTTTCTGTGTTTTTGACATTTGATTGGAGATAATTTCAAGTAAATAAATGAATAAATACGACTAGCAATCTAGAATAAAATGCTATGAAAATTACAGGCTAGACCTTAATTATTTTTGATTTATTTCAAAGTCATATACAGTAAAAAATATACAAATATATTGCATAAACAAAAAAACGAAGAACTATTTAGAGAAACAAAACAACATTGTAGGACAATTTTTATTTAAATTTGTTTTTAGAAATCACGATTATTTCTTTTAATGATATAATGATATTATAAGGATGAAAATAATTGTCAGAATTTTCAGTCGAAATTTCTTTAAATAAAAAATTAAATAATTTAAAAAAACAAACAAATTTTTACTGCAAATCCTAATATTTTTGTCTTCCCTATAATTTTATATTACATTATACAAATAATTTACATTACAACAATTAAGAAAACCTGATAAGACCGATGCCATAGTGATGTCATTTCAGCAAGGAAAGAAGTCCCTGCCCACTCACTTCACCATTGGTGGAGTGGACCAGCGGATCTCCACCTTAGTCCTTTACCTAGGCGTGACTCTGGATAGGCACCTCACCTTTACTAGTCACGTCAACCAGAGGCTCAAGCTGGCTCGGCAAAAGGAGTATAGGCTCTACCACCTGCTAAAGTCGGCGCAGCTCTCGTTGAGACTAAAACTGCAAATCTACAAGGCGGTCATCAGGCCTACACTGCTCTATGGTGCACCCTTGCTCCGCCACCTGTATAAGTCCACGCTCAAGAAACTCCAGAGTTATCAAAACTCCATCCTTCGGTGAATAGTTAGAGGTACCACCCTGCAAAGGGCAAAGAATGTAAAGATCCGAAAGGAGCTTCAGCTCCAACGGTGCCTGAGTTCATAGGCCAAAGGCACATAAAATTTTTCGATGGGCTGAAGGTCTGTGCTAACCCACTTTTCCAGAAAATAGTACCGCTGCCCAGGCCTGGGAGGTGGCAAGGTAAAGTCCCCTTGGTAGATGTTCTCGCCGAGGGAAGGGGTTTGGACTCTGTAGTTCACACCCACTAACTATAATGTAAATAATAAATTAATGCAGGGCGGTCCCTCCACGCCCAGTGGTATAATAAAAGGCCTCTGGCCACAGATGCAAAGAACGCATACAGCGTGCATAGCCCTCTTACCTTAAAATGCCCTTGGGCAATAAAAGGAAAAAAAAAAAAATTATGTATATATACATTTATATATTGTACTTTGTAATAAAGAAATTCCTGGGGGAGAGGAAAAAAAAAAAAAAAAAAATAACCTAAAAGGCTTCTTACTCAGTCAATATTGAGTTTCGCCAATATATTGACCTTGCAAGGGCTATATTGAGCAATATTAAACCATGTATACAGATCTTGAAAATCACTGGGCGATACCAAATTTCTGGTGCCCTTCTGCGCAATATGTTTGAATAGGGAGACGATACTTTGTTTCAATCTATGTTTTTGAAGGGGAGCTAATCCCTCCTCTCTCCCCGATTTTTTTTTTTGAAATGGCAATATGTTTGGGTAGGTGGGTGATACTTTGTTTTACATTTATTATTATTTTTTTTGGGAGGGGAAGGGGGGTTTGACCTTCCTCCCCTCCGAATTTGTTTTAAAATGACAATATGTTTGGGTAGATGGACGATACTTTATTTAACTTTTATTTTTATTTTTTTGAGGGAGGAGTTAATATTAGGATTACTTATGACTTAAAAATGTCAAATTTACAAACATTCATAGAAAGAAAACATGCTTCTTTAATTTTGGATTAAATACATTTTTTTTTTTAAATAGTTCTATAATTTCATATTATGTTTTATATTTGTTTCAAATATTTAAAAAAAATTGTGGTGCTTTGCATTTTTGAAAAAAAACAAAAAAACATCAACTTCTAAAATTACATTTTATTTGTTTTAAAACAAATGAAATAGTAAATGAACCTTTTCTCTCACTTTTTAAATTTATTAATATTAATAAATTACTAGTCTATTATACCTTAAAGTATTGATTTCATGCAAAAAGGTAAATACAAATCTTAAAATGTCCCGAAACAATGGTCCGAGGGGTATTATCTGTCTAGTGGTTACGTCAGAACTCGATTCCTCCTCACCATTTTCCCTCTGAGTGAGCGGACCTGGTAGTTTTATTGACCTAGTGTCCTAAGTATTTAGCACCCTTGATATGTAGAAAAATCGAATAACGATTTCAAAGATTTATTTTATGAATGTCAATAGTTTTGAAATGAACTTTCTAAGAGAAAAAAACTCATGTAATTAAAGTTTTAGTAACCACGAGATTAAGCGATTTACCACATTTCTTATTTTTAGGAAAATGTTAAAAATTGTACCATGTAATCAAAGGAACTTTCGAAGGGCGGGAATGGCTGACAAGCCGTAGTTAGGAGACCTCTGGCCTAGATAAACAAATATTTATTTTTGTTCTATCATCTCAAACAACTTTGTCTTTATTGATAGGCGTTATCTATATGAAATTATCAATAATATAGTATCAGTTAAATTAATTTTGAAATGAGACAAGAGAATATTGACGTCCTGAAGTGGTTGACACATAAAGAAAGGTTCTTAACTTTAAAACAAACTAA